GAGATTTCTTCAGTATCGAGAAGAGGGAGAGACAAGCATAAACCGTCAACATCGGGATCAGAGCCACAAAATCCAGGAGTGCTTGATTTCAATATTTGGAATTGGCCTCGCATGTTCACAAGAAAGTCCAAGTGAACCGTTGGACACTAGTGACATTCTAGCCAAGTTGCTTGTGGTAAGGAACACATTCATGGAGACTGATGGCATACATGAACAGAGATCTAGAATTGGCATCCAATCTTGCATCGGTATGAGCCCATCACTTTCTTAGGAACTGACTAATATATCTTCAAAAAATTTATGATACTGAAAAAATTTAAAACTTCAAAAACTTGTGGTTGACCCTAATCGACTCAAGTGAATCATAAATTGACTTGTTTGAATTGTAATTTAACCTGTTTAGAACGTCACTTCGATTTTGGGATTCTAGAAAAATCCATATATCTACAAAAAATCCCCCAAGCCCCTACAATAANGTGGTCTTCACGTCATCATCACATGACCCCTAAGTTTGTTAGGATTTTGGTAGGAAATCACTTGGTTGTTAGAGATTACATTTCTTAGGTGTGATGTGATCTTCTACACCATACTAATGTGGCATTCTAGAACATGCTAAAGTGACATCGTGACATATCTCTAAGCTTGGATAGGCTTGATCTTCCATTTGTAAGAGGTCATACTGTTTGAGATGACCTCTTATTCTATTGGACAACTCATGAATAAAGGAACTCGATCTATACTCCTGGCCTGAAATGAAAATATTGAACTTCCTCGTGAGATGATATAGACGACCTGGTCACCCTTGCTCGAGGACGNATTAGTGATAAATACTGAAGTGATAAAATGATTGTGTATATAAAGAATAATAAAGTTGTTATGCAATGATTGCCAAGAATGAAAATTCACCGGAGTCAATTCTAAATAATTTTAATTAATCTATATTTTATAAATNTTAGAACGTCACTTCAATTTTGGGATTCTAGAAAAATCCATATATCTACAAAAAATCCCCCAAGCCCCTACAATACATAGACATTTAGTTTGCCTTATGGCCAACTGAGTACTGGGGCTTCACTGTACTGTTGTAGGGGCTACACTACGATGGAGTTATTGTACCGACATTGTCATGCAATTGTTAGTTTTAATTATGATACTCAAAAGTTTCTTTTCGGTATCTTAGTTAGACTTCTTTTATATGACAAAGTCTTATAACACCAAAAGTAAAATTTGCATACACACGTCCTAATTAAATAAGGTCATTGGAGTCTTGCTTTGTTCACAGGTCAACTAGCACATCAATTCTATATAAGTATCTCTTTGGTTTGAAGGCATTATTTATGTGGCACTGAGTTATCATAAAGACAATCTTTTTACTCGTCAAAACTCATTTTTTAAATAAAAAGACAAAAAAAAAAAAAAATAGAGAGAGAAAAAAAACCTCTAACAAAGAGGTGACACCGCAGGTTTTCGNGAACTTTTAAGTATTAAATAAGATGTAATTAAATATAAATTATTATCTGATTTATATATAACACAATTTTATAGCTCCGCCTCTGACTATGGTTATTAGTTTCACTATTATTATGTTCTAGTTTTTAAACTAGCCAAATATATATATGGTTGAAAGTCATAAGGNAAAATAGAGAGAGAAAAAAAACCTCTAACAAAGAGGTGACACCGCAGGTTTTCAATGAGATTGCTTTGAATTGCTTCAATTTTTTGTTTTCTGCATATTCGTAAAATGGAATGTTTATGATTTTATGCAGTGATTTATGCAATGTTTTATCGATAGCTTAATCAAATTGCATTTTCTTTATGGTCTTCCGCATTCATGTTTCGTATATATTTATTTAACAACTTGTTAGTTAACCACGATTAATGTTGTATTTTCAGGCTAAANTGATATATATTTTGATTTTAGAGTACGGCATGGGAAGTGAACCGTCGATACATGGGGGATGTGTATAGTTATGGCATCATATTGTTGAAAATATTTACCGGAAAGAGACTCACTGATGAAATGTTTAAAAATAGTTTAAACATTCATAATTATGTTAAGTTGACTTTGTCTGAAAGAATAACGAATGTCGCCAATCTGAGATTTCTTCAGTATCGAGAGNAAGGTGGATCACTACATAATCTTGTATGTGAAAGAAGTAATAGAGCGTGCATCAAAACTAGTTTATCAAGTTTTGCTTAGTGATTGAATGTTGATGGTTGGATCAAAAGGTCTAATTAGAAATGATCCAACAACCTAGCTATATACATTTGGTAAACATGTTCTGGTAAACTATTTGGTAAGTATAGCAAGTCTTTTTTTTTGGTGTTAAATTGNAGTCTTATAACACCAAAAGTAAAATTTGCATACACACGTCCTAATTAAATAAGGTCATTGGAGTCTTGCTTTGTTCACAGGTCAACTAGCACATCAATTCTATATAAGTATCTCTTTGGTTTGAAGGCATTATTTATGTGGCACTGAGTTATCATAAAGACAATCTTTTTACTCGTCAAAACTCATTTTTTAAATAAAAAGACAAAAAAAAAAAAAAATAGAGAGAGAAAAAAAACCTCTAACAAAGAGATGACACCACAGGTTTTCAATGAGATTGCTTTGAATTGCTTCAATTTTTTGTTTTCTGCATATTCGTAAAATGGAATGTTTATGATTTTATGCAGTGATTTATGCAATGTTTTATCGATAGCTTAATCAAATTGCATTTTCTTTATGGTCTTCCGCATTCATGTTTCGTATATATTTATTTAACAACTTGTTAGTTAACCACGATTAATGTTGTATTTTCAGGCTAAAGGTGGATCACTACATAATCTTGTATGTGAAAGAAGTAATAGAGCGTGCATCAAAAATAGTTTATCAAGTTTTGCTTAGTGATTGAATGTTGATGGTTGGATCAAAAGGTCTAATTAGAAATGATCCAACAACCTAGCTATATACATTTGGTAAACATGTTCTGGTAAACTATTTGGTAAGTATAGCAAGTCTTTTTTTTTGGTGTTAAATTGTGTATTATGATGTCTGGTTTGTATAATAAATGAGGGTGTTATATGTTAGTTTTTGCCTACACTTCATTCATCTACAGAGACAGTTGTCTAATGCTCCGTTTGGTAGAAAAGATGGAAAGTAGAAATGATGGAAAGTAAGAGGAATACACTTTCTATTTTTTAAGGATGGAAAATAGAAATGATACACTTTCCTTCCTTTGTGTTTGGTTGGATAGATGGAAAATAAAAATGACTAATTTTTATTTTTTATTTTTGTGATGGCTAAGATTAGAGTCGATAATCGAGTCGTGTCGTGTCAAATTCGTGTTGAGTCATAAAATTTGAGCTTTTTATATTTTTTGTTCGCATGTCAGGTCATTTTCAAGTTCGCGTTGAGTTATAATTAAGTTCGTGTCATAAAATTTGTGTCGAGTTCGAGTCGTGTCATCGTGTTGAGTCGAAAATTTTAACCCCTAATTAAGATGAAAAAAATATTTTTTTAATTTTAATTTTTTTTTATATATATATATATACATATTTTACTATGATATTTTTTATGTGAAATTAATGTATACATAATATATATAGACAAATAAGATACATCTCAACACAAATAATTAACTTTTCATCCACTTTCCTTCCGATTTGAAGAGATTGATTTTGGTGAGTTGGAAAAAAAGTTAAGTCATTCACTTTTTCATCATTCTTATTTTCCTTACTTACCAAACATAATGTTTTATCCATCCCTTCAACTTTTCATCATTCTAACTTTTTATCATTTTATTTTTCTATCGTACTAAACGGAGCATAACTACTTTCTAAAAAAACCAACCGTTAAGAGGCGCAAGGATTTAATAGAATCGTTCGAGATAGTTGTATCAAATCAAAGTGCCTCCTGGTTGGTGTAAGAATATTCTTGCTATTTTAAATATCAATATCGATTATGTATCGCCTAGTAACCCCCCATTATGTCGTACTGTTTTATACCAAATATGTGGAATGAAATAAAACTGTAACAAAGTCATTAAGACTCAGCCCTTCAAACATGACCCAAACTTAGTACTAAGTTACTATCGGAAAAGGGCAACTTCAATTAATACACAACCAAGATCCAAAAAAAAAAAAAAAAAAACTAATACACAACCGACTGTTCTTTACTCTTGACCATTTGTCCTCTTGATCAACAGTTTAGATAGATGTATCCTTTTAATTATCACCACGCCTCTTGAATTTAGAGTTTATTATAATTATGGAGGTGACTAGTAGATATTTGTCGGTGATCAATCCGAAATCATCCATAAAATACATTTTCATATATAACATAAAATAATAGCAAATGTAGTTTTGCGAGCTAATCAAATAACCAACTTTATTTTTTAAAAAAATTTTAAGTCATCACAACCGTCTTTGTTACAATATTATGAACCACAAAATAAGAGCCCACATATGACAGACCACCTCGCTTGCGTCCCCTATATCCATGGAAGCCTTCCCTCGGATTTAGGCATCACTCTTCCTAATCTTGATTTTCTTGGCATTAGTGATAATAAATTTACTGGGTCAATCCCCCATTCAATAGTGAATGCCTCGAATCTGAGAACATTTGAAATTAATGGGAATAATTTACGAGTAATGGTATTGGGACCTAATTCACTATAATCTTTGAATTAACTGTGAGTTCTATTAAACATTAGAACTTGGTATTAATCCAATGATTTCAATGAAGTCACGTTATTAAATCAACAAATTATGTCACATTTTTAGATCCAAATAGAATTTTTCATAATTTAAATGGAAAAGTGCCTACTATGGAAAATCTACTTAAGCTCCAGTTTGTAAGCATTGGCCACAATATGCTTGGAAGTGGTGGCCCTGACGACTTGGGCTTTCTCACTTCGTTGACAACTGCCACCAGTTTGAGGATGTTGGATATGGAGCATAATAAGCTTGGTGGAACTCTTCCTGCATCCATCAGCAACTTGTCGACAAACCTCGAACTAAAAATAAATTTGACGGTTTTATTCTGTTTTCGGTTGGAAATTTAAGCCGTCTAGCTAAAGTTCTTTTTAAGTGAAAATTACTTTCAGGGCAACGTCCCTTCAAGCATGGGACAATTCAAGAATTTGTTAGAATTGAATCTATCTGACAATAATCTCAGCGGTACCATACCCCAAGAAGTTGTTGGTCTCTCGTCCTTGTCGGTGTCCCTAAACTTGTCTCTAAATCTTTTAAGAGGTTCCATTCCCAGTGAGATGCGCGGGGTCAGAGCCAGGATTTTGTCTCAATCGGGGCAATTTAAAATTTAAAATTTTAAAGTATAATTGTAACATTGTTTTCATCAAAATGTGTATTTTTGATAAACTGTTTTTAAGTATAGTTACATCAAAAGAATGTCATTTAGAGACGCAATTCTACAAGACTTAAACTAATTTTCTAATATAAAAAATTCGATTTTAGATTAGTGTTAATACTACTATCAAAAAATTTGGTTAATGGATTACCTCTCCTTAGTTTCAACATAATCTTATAGGGTTTCTTCAAATTTGATTTGCACAATAATTGAATCCAACTGACTGATTTGTTGATGAATACATAATAAAGAAACTAAATAAAAGAAAGAAGAGGGGCTGGATGTCTGAATTGGACTGAAAGTCTGAACAAAGAATACGAAGGCTCACGAAAAAAACAAAAAGCAGGCGTAAAAAGGAGTTGCCAAAAGTTAGCTGTTAAGGGTTAAAAATTATATCAATATATCCTATACTTTAAGAAATTTTCAATGGGATAAGTTTAAGAAATGCTTGAAAATTTTAAAATTACACGTAAGTCCCAAAATTTTTTAAAATTTCAATGGGGGCAACTGCTAGGCGTGAAAAATGAGGAAGAGCTGCCAAAAGTTAGCTTTTAAGGGTTAAAAATTATATTAATATACTCTATACTTTAAGAAAATTTCAGTGGATACAAGTTTAAGAAATTTTTGAAAAATTTAAAATTACAACTAGGTCCCAAAAGTTTTGAAAATTATAGTGGGGGCAACTGCCCCCATACTAAATCCGCCACTGTCAGGTGGGAAACTTAAAAAATTTAGCCGCATTGGATGTTTTTGAGAACATGTTATCAAGTGAAATTCCTGGCGCACTTGGGAGTTGTGGGAGTTTGGAAATCCTCTACATCTAGGGCAACTTTTTCCAAGGGTCTATGCCTTCACCTCTAAGTTTTTTGAGAGGTATTCAAGAATTGGATCTTTCATGCAACAATTTATCAGACAAAATTCGTGAGTATTTGGTAGGTTTTAAACTGAAGATACTGAACTTGTCCTTTAACGACTTTGATGGCGAGGTACCAATCAAAGGCATCTTCAAAAAAAGCAAGTGCAACTTTGGTTAACGGAAATTATAAGCTGTGTGGGGGGGTACTTGAATTGCAATTGCCAAGATGCAACTTCAATGGGTCGAGGAAAAGTAGGCTGACCTTTATCCTTAGATTACTAATTCCTTTATCTTGTGGGCTTCTAGGACTAATTTTGGCGATGTGTTTTCTATATCTCTATTGGTTTAAGAAGTCAAGAAAAGCCATATCTTCAGGCTTTCTAGAAAATTCATTCTTAAAAGTGTCTTATCAAAGTCTTCTAAAAGCTACTAATGGGTTCTCTTCAGAAAATTTAATTGGCGTGGATAGTTTTCGTTCTATATATAAAAGAGTTCTTAATCAAGATGGAACANATTCATTCTTAAAAGTGTCTTATCAAAGTCTTCTAAAAGCTACTAATGGGTTCTCTTGAGAAAATTTAATTGGCGTGGATAGTTTTCGTTCTATATATAAAAGAGTTCTTAATCAAGATGGAACTATTGTTGCTATAAAGATACTTAACCTTTTGCGCCAAGGGGCTTCTAAGAGTTTTCTTGCTGAGTGCGAAGCCTTAAGAAACATCAGGCATCGAAATCTTGTGAAGGTGGCCACTGCATGTTCAGGTGCTGATTACCAAGGGAATGATTTCAAGGCACTGGTTTATGAGTTCATGGTCAATGGGAACTTAGAGGAGTGGTTGCATCCAATTCAAGGAGAATTTGAGGTGAATGAGGAAATAGGAATTTAAGTCTTCTTCAGAGATTAAATATTGCCATAGATGTTGCCTACACCTTGCATTATCTTCACCATGATTGCCACACTTGCATAATTCACTGTGATTTGAAGCCAAGCAACATTCTTCTAAACAACGTGATGACCGCACATGTTGGTGACTTTGGGTTAGCACGATTTCTTCTTAATGCTAGTATTTGTAACTCTGCACATCACATAAGTAGTTCTATTGGACCAAGAGGATCCACTGGTTATGTTACGCCAGGTAAGTATTCTTTCTTTGCTATATTCGTTTCACTACTGAAACAAATAACAAGAATCTATTTTAATTTAATTCATTTGTTCATGCCAGAAACATTCGTGATTCAGACTTTTGATTCTTCTGTCTACAATTTTATAAGTCTTTCCATCCATTACCAATTAGTTATGAATTACATGAGTTAAGAGTTGAGCACTTATGTTATAAGTTGTAAATCATACGAAAAATTGGTTCTATTGGCTTTCTCAAAGTGAACTCTCCAACGCCAAATGTGGGTGCAAGCGCAATTCTCGAGTAAAAAGTAAATATTCAAGTTTACACATGCAATTCTCGAGTAAAAACGTAAATATTCAAGCATGCACTGCGACCAAATTCCTTTACTTCAGTTTTTATACTCTTATATTTGAATTTTAGAGTATGGCATGGGAAGTGCACCGTCGACACATGGGGATGTATATAGCTATGACATCGTATTGTTGGAAATGTTTCTTGGAAAGAGACTCACTGATGAGATATTTAACGGTAATTTGAACCTTCATAACTATGTGAGGACGATTACTTTGCTTGAAACAGTGACGAGTGTCGCTGATCCAAGACTTCTCCAGTCTGAAGAAGTGGGAGAGACGAGCATAAACCATTGGCGTTAGTATCAGAGTCATGCTGGTAGTTACAAAATTCAGGAGTGCTTGATTTCAGTATTTGAAATTGGACTCGCATGTTCACGAGAAACCCCAAGTGAATGGTTGGACACTAGTGAAATTTTAGCCAAGTTGCTTGTGGTAAGGAACAAATTCATGGGGACTAATGGCATACCTGAACGAAGATCTGGAATTGGAATCCAATCTTGAATAGGCATGAACCCATCACTTTTTTAGGAACTGGATAATATATTTTCGAAACTTTTATGATATCGAAAAAATTTAAGACTTCAAAAACTTTTGATGGATCCTAAATTAACTTAAGTGAGTCGTAACTTGACTTGTTTGAAATGTAATTTTACCTGTTTAGAACGTAACTTCCCGTACGATTTGGTATTCTAGAAAAATTCAAAAATCTACACTTGGTATGAAAACCCCCCAAGCTAATGCAATAGAGAGAAATTTAATTTGCCCTATGGCCAACTGATTACTGGGTCTTCACTGCATTGTTGTTAATTCTTTAATGTAGACAAACTGATCATGTAGGTTAGTTTTCATGAAAAAAAATTACGTTTTCCATACCAAGGAGAATTTTTCGGGAAAACACTTCTTTCCATTGTTGTTATTGTCTTTAAGTGTTTCCCCCAAAAGCAGATTCTTTAACGAAACAAAAGTCACATTCATGGAATGGATTGTCAACAGCTCGTATGGATTGTCAATAGCTCATATGGTGCTGTGTTACCAGACAATTATAATGAGTCAGTTTGGATAGCGGATAGTATGATACTAAAAACACATGTAATATTTTTATTGACTAAAGCGGATAGCATGATACTCTACGGAAGGTAAATTATATTCATAAAGAAAGAAGGAGAAATACAAGATCAAAACAAAGGGTGATGCTCACATGACAATGCATCCACCCATTACAAAAGTAGAACCAAAAGATTAACAACAAAACCAAGAGTCTAGAATTCTAAAGAAAGTGCCAGCCTTGAGCTGGTACTTTCAGTAGAATCCAGACTCAATAGGAGACAAAGAAAGCAAAAAAACTTCCATCAACGTGGGATTGCACATTCAAAACAGAGGAATGCAGAGTAGTCTACACCACAAGTAGTCCATGAGTACAGTGTCATTACAATCTCACTGGCATTGTCTATAGTCGAATGGAAAGCACAATACCAACTTACTTTTCTGCTCATTCACCGTCCTCCGGCTTCTTTGAGGAGTGGGAGAAACTAATGGATGATGAAGCCAGTAGCTCCTTTCTTGCTCGTAGGTTGTACTCCTCAAAACAGAGCACGCAGGCAGCATTCAAGGAGCAGTGAGAAAAGAAGAAAGCACTTCCAGAAGGATCCAGGATAAAGGCCTTGATGTTCCCATTGGTGAGTCTCATCTCTGAGATCTCATCTTCAGAAATGTCAAGTAAGAAAAAAAAACATATAGACACAGACAAGTATGATGACACCAAAAGCAGGATTTGCATACACACGTGTCACTACTTATCAGTGTTACACAATTGAATTATTAAGAGTCTTGGTTTATTCATTGGTCAAATAGTACAACAGTTCTATATAACTATTTTTGAATTATTTATGTGGGACTAAGTTATTATAAAGACAAACTTTTTACTTGTCAAAACTCCTTTTTTAATAAAAAGGCAAAAAAAAAAGAGAAAAACTCTAACAAAGAGATGACACTATAGATTTTCGACGAGATAACTTTGATACGTGTAGTTTTGTGTTTTCTGTATATTCATAATATGAAATGTTTATGATCATATGCATTGATTTACGTAATATTTTATCTATAGCTTAATCAAATTGTATTTTCTTTGTGGTCTTCTGCATTCATGTTTCGTATATACTTATTTAACAAATTGTTAGCTAACCACGATAAATGTTGTATTTTCAAGCTAAAGGTGAATCTTTTGGATAAATGAGTCCCATCATTTTTTTCAAAGGAACCCATCCATCCAAAGCATTTGAACTCTTTCATTTCAAAAGAACCCATCCATCCAAAGCATTTGAACTCTTTCAAATGCTTTGGAAAAGGTGAAACTGTTCTCTGGCGTGATTAAAGGGATTGGCGTACCTTGCAGACGAATTTTCTTGGAAAAGAAAAAAAAAAGCATACAATGGTTTATCAAAGTGGTGGGTCACGGTGGATCCAAGATCGGGTACGGGAGATTTGAAGATTTGCTGGTGGAGCATGAGACCCACCAATTTTAGTTGGGTGGTGCTATTTTTCCGTTGGTATATATGAATAAGTCATTTTTAGTGATTTTTTTCTTTTTTATGGTTAATGGTGTACGGGTCAACTTATATACACCTTGATTAATCTCTTTTTCAGTTCGAACAAATACATTTTTATTCAAATTTGAATTTAAATTTGAGTTAAAGTTAGAGATGCTCTCACAAATCATAAACAAACAAAACCCTAATGACCGGACTATTACAATAGCCACCACATCTAGTAAATATGACATTAAACAAAGTGGGGTTATGATTGAGAAATTTGATGACAAGTACTCAATTTATAATTTTTCAAGTCTTCAGTGCACACTCTAAGATTTTAAGACGAGAAGGACAGTACCATTAAAATGACCAAGATACCCAAATTAAGTACCAATTACTTACACAGAATATGCTATTATTTCACTTGACTGGGGACTTTCATCATGAGAAGCTTAACTCTAGAGTTGAGTCGTTTCAAGGGATCAGTGGGGAACAACTTTTTTTACTTCTCTATCATTCCTTATCGTATGGAAGTTGAAAGTTTTTCAAAGTTCCCCTTTTCAATAATGGAGGAAGAACTGCGGGACAGTCTCGGTAAAGAAGTGGATTTCATGTGGCTATAAAGATCTCTTTTACACTAATGTTATTGAGACATAATTTAATGATATAATATAGAAACTTAATACATTATGATTATTACGTTGATAGTGTTGGGACCTAGTAATACTTCAATGTTGGGACTCACTGATAATCTAATGACCACAATCATTAAGTCCTTAAATTATGTCTCAATAACATTGCTCTTTTTTTTTTTTTTTGATATTTCCTTATGTGTGGGAGCCCAAGAAAATTTGAAGTCTAAAGTCACAATTAAAAATGAAACTTTTTATTTTTAATATTAATAATTTTTATTTAAAATTTATTCCTCCTATTTTTTTGAGATTAAAAATGTTATTAGTTTCTATGTTTAAGTTTCACTACCATATTTTTAAACAATAATGATTTTAATTTTTTAAGTTAAATAAAATACTAAAAATATTTTAGTATAGTTTTCCCAACACACATCAAAAAACGAAAAAAAAAGTTTGTGTTCAAAAGAGAATAAGTGATATAGGGAGATGATTACAGATGAGTGGTGTGTTTTGGTTGACCCGTAGTAATTTTTTTTTTTTAAAAATTGGTATATGTTTAATATTATGGGATGGATTCATGAGTACAAAATACTCAAATTTATTTTTGATTGTGTTTAAATTTTTATAAATCTTTTTTGGGGTCTAAAATCTTATGAATCAAATTTTTTTTTTAAATTGGGAAATGCTATTTGGACTAACTATACATTTACAAATTTTGAGACTTTATAAATGATGATACCTAGAAAATACTTAAGGTTCAGCTCGGTTATCTAGCTCAGCCTCGCTAGTCGGGAGCCCTATCTCATTGAGACCCTTCCCCCTGACCTGGACCTTCCTCAATCCACACCTACGGGGAGGCGAAGTGGAGGACAGCTGATGCCTACAAAGCACTCCTTCAGTAACACTAGTTGCTTATCCAGGCACTCAATTCACAACCGCCACAGAATGCCCTGCAACCGTTGCACAATTCAAGCGGCCATTACGAGAAAGAGGCAAGGATCTCACCTTAGATCTTGCTAGGCTCAGAATTAGCTATAAGTATTAGACAAAGCCCAGAAATACTGTGTAATTATCCCCCCTTCGATCAATATATTTCCCAAGAGTAAGAGATTTCATTAAAGAGTAGATTAACCAAGCTTCAGAGCTTGTGAACCATTATAGTTTTCCTGTTGAAATTAATCCCCTTCCCAGAAATCTTATTCCTAAGAGCCTTGAAGCTTAGACTTCAGTAAACTTAGCATTCCCTATTCTACTTATTCGCGTTACATGTATCATCAATAATATATGCATCATCAATAATATATGGAGCCTAAAACCTGAATTTTATTGACCTTGTGGTTGGATTGTCATCAGGGAATATTTAGTTGTGATTTTATGAGAGATAAACCCGAAGTGAGGCATATCCAAAAGAGTAATGATGCACAACTTAAATTGAACCTAAAAAATTACAATTCAAATATATATTATTTTTTAGATGAATGAGTTATATCAACTTTTTTAGTTTTGAACTCTTTCAAATGCTTTATAAAAGTTGAAGCTGTTCTCCTACATGATTATTTAAAGGGATTGGTGTGCCTTAGAGACGAATTTTCTTGGAAAAGAAAAAAAAGCATACAATGGTTTATCAAAGTCGTGGGTCAAGGTGGATCCAAGATTGGGTACAAGAGATTCGAAGATTTGCTAGTGGAGCATGAGACCCACCACTTTTAGTTGGGTGGTGCTATTTTTCCGTTGATAGACATGAAAAAGTCATTTTTAGTGGATTTTTTTTTTAACAGTCAAGACTGTACAAGTTAGCTTATATACAATTTGATTCATCTCTTCTCTGATTTGAATGTAAACTTATTTTTCCTTTGATTAACCCTTGTCTTTGATTGGTTCCCGAGGATTTGTATTGCTCTACAAGAGAAATCTGAGCTTATCTATTGAATTGTTCTATATTAAATCAAGTTTTTTATATTAAATTTTTAGTTAGACGTGAGTAAAATTTAATTCTAAAAATGGGTAGATCATTGCAAATCGACCGTTTTGAATCCATGCTAAAATGTGGGCGACCTATCGTGCCTGATGTTAATGGGCAACAAACAGTCTGTCTTTCCTGGTACCACGTCGACATGCACTTTTAAGAGAAATTGGGGGAAGCAAGTGCATATAAATCCAACCAGGGGACTGAGTTTCTTCTTCACCTATTTGAGTGGTCACAGTTTGAGAATTTTCTCTTCCTTTTTCTTTCTCCTTATTAAATTTGTGGGAAAAGAGGAATTCAGAAGCTTAAAACTTAAAATCCAAGCACAGGTACAATCTCCAATATAGATTAATTGTTGCAAGTTCTTGAATAATTCATATCCATGTTTTATACTAGTTCCTGAGCACTTGAAATTTCTTTACTATGCAGGAGGTGAAGTGCAAAAGCCATATATCCTCCATATGAACTGCAGGAGCAATAAGTTTTCTTCAACTCTAATGGGGTTTTCATGCTTAAGGTTAAGCACAGAATTGTCACTTTTCTATTATGTTATGGTTGTATGTTGCTTCAGCTTTCTGCACCCAAGGTTTCCTACCATAGTAGCTGCATCTAGGCTGCGAGGGAACGATACAGATCGACTTGCTTTGCTTGCATTCAAGGCAAACATAATTGATGATCCGTTCAAGGTTCTGAGCTCATGGAATGGATCAGCCCTCTTCTGCGAATGGCACGGTGTTACATGTGGTCGACGCCACCAAAAAGTCACCAAGTTGGACCTGAGATCCCAAAAATTATTTGGGACCATACCGCCACACATCGGGAATCTAAGCTTCCTTAGAGAACTACATTTCCAGAACAACAGTCTTGTTCGTGAAATCCCCTCAGAACTTGGACGTTTGTCAAGGCTGAAAATTTTAGACCTACATTATAATTCGTTCAGTGGCAATATTCCTGCCAACTTATCTAGTTGCTCTAGTCTTATTGGCTTCGATTTTGGTTTCAACAAGCTGGTAGGGGCAGTTCCTATAGAGCTAGGCTCATTGTCAAAGCTCAAACTAGTTTCAATCCAATACAATGATCTAACCGGAGATATTCCTCATTCTTTTGCAAACTTAACATCTCTTAAAATTCTACTTGCAACCGAAAATGGTTTTGGTGGAAGTATCCCCGATTCTCTTGGTCATCTGGGCAACTTGACAGTGATTGGACTAGGCGAAAGTAGATTGTCTGGTGCCATCCCTCCGTCAATCTTCAATCTCTCTTCCCTCACAGCTTTTGATGTGATCGATAATAAGCACCTGCGTGGCAGCCTTCCCTTTGATATAGGCATCACTCTTCCTAATCTTCAATTCCTTGGCTTAAGTGGTAACCAATTTACTGGGTCATTCCCTAATTCAATAACCAATGCCTCAAATCTGGAAGTATTTGAAATCGCTATCAACAATTTTAATGGAAAAGTGCCAACTATGGAAAAGCTACATAAGCTTCAGTTTGTAAACATTGGTCGGAACAGTTTTGGAAGTGGTGGACCAGACGATTTGGGCTTTCTTTCTTCTTTGACAAATGCCACCTACTTAACGGTGTTGAGTCTGGGCCATAATAAGTTTGGTGGAACATTTCCCGAATCCATCAGCAACTTGTCAACAATGCTTGAACAACTTACTCTTAACGACAATTGTATAGTTGGAAGCATTCCAACTGCGATAGAAAATCTTATAAACTTGACTTTCCTAGACCTGTCTGAAAACCAATTCACAGGTAACATCCCAAGCGATATCGGTAAACTTCAAAAGCTAAGTGTATGGTATATTTGTCGAAACCAATTTATAGGTTTTATTCCATTCTCTGTTGGAAACTTAAGCCTTCTAACCGAGGTCATCTTAAGTGAAAATAACTTTCAGGGCAGCATCCCTTCAAGTATGGGAAAATGCAAGAGTTTGTTACTATTGGATCTCTCTGGCAACAATTTTAGTGGCACCATACCTCAGGAGGTTCTCGGTCTCTCATCCTTATCGTTGTACCTAGACCTATCTCGAAACCATTTGAGTGGTTCCCTTCCCCCAGAGGTGGGAAACTTGAAAAATTTAGGTGAACTAGATGTTTTTGACAACATGTTATCTGGTGAAATTCCGAACACACTTGGTAGTTGTATAATGTTGGAATTCCTTTTCATGCAAGGAAACTCCTTCCGAGGGCCTATTCCTTCGTCTTTAAGTTTTTTGAGAGGTATTCAAAAATTGGATCTCTCACGCAATAATTTGTCGGGAAAAATTCCAGAATATTTGACAGGTTTTCAGCTGAAGGAGCTAAATCTATCTTTCAATGACTTTGATAGTGAGGTACCAATCAAAGGCATCTTCAAAAATGCGAGCGCAACATATGTTATGGGAAATAGTAAGCTTTGTGGGGGTGTACCTGAATTACGATTACCTAGATGCAAGGTTAAAGAGTTGAAGAAAAGGAGGTCAAACCTCATCCTAAAACTCCTGATTCCATTATCTTGTGGGCTTCTAGGAGTAATTTTGGTGGTGTGCTTTTTATACCTTTACTGGTCTAAGAAGTCAAGACAAGCAAAATCGTCAAGTTTGCTAGAAAATTCACTCTTGAAAGTGTCTTATCAAAGTCTCCTAAAAGCTACTAATGAGTTCTCTTCAGACAATTTAATTGGAGTGGGTAGTTTTAGCTCTGTGTATAAAGGAGTTCTTGACCAGGATGGAACTATTGTTGCTGTAAAGGTACTTAACCTTTTGCGTCCAGGGGCTTCCAAGAGTTTTCTTGCAGAGTGCGAGGCCTTGAGAAACATCAGGCATCGAAATCTTGTGAAGGTGGTCACTGCATGTTCAGGTGTTGATTACCAAGGGAATGATTTCAAGGCACTAGTTTATGAGTACATGGTCAATGGGAATGTAGAGGAGTGGTTGCATCCAATTCAAGGGGAAGATGAGGTGAATGAGGAGCCAAGAAATTTAGGTCTTCTTCAGAGGTTAAATATTACCTTAGATATTGCCTTTGCCTTGGATTATCTTCACAATCATTGCCACACTCGCATAATTCACTGCGATTTGAAGCCAAGCAACATTCTTCTAAACAACGAGATGACTGCACATGTTGGTGACTTTGGTTTAACACGATTTCTTGTTAATAGTAGCTCTGCACATCAAACAAGTCGTTCTATTGGACTAAGAGGATCCATTGGCTATGCCGCACCAGGTAAGTAGACTTTCTTTGCCACATTCATTTCGCTACTTAAAAAAAAAAACTCTACCTCAATGTTTGCTCGTCTCTTGCTTTATAGTCCTTTTTTTTTTGAACGGGTCTTGCCTGATAGTTCACTCATAACTATGAATGGTTAATCTTTTGATAGTAACCCTTATTTTTTTCTTGAGCAATCCTCGATTTTGACAGTAACACTGACTACGAAACCACTGTATCTTACTCTTAGGGGTAAATCATTCCTCTCCAAATTGCTTTTTCAATGAAATGATCTTCTTCTTATTCTTCTAGCTTTTTGCTTAGCACTCTGTGCAGTTTTAAATTATTTTTCGAATAATATTATATAGACTTAAAAATTAAATTTGATAATTACAATCATTAATTTTACTATGAGTATCAGCATTTATTGAGACCTACTACCTATTCAATAGTGTTGATTATGAAGTCTATTTTTTAAGTTTACGTAGCACTTCCCTTATTTCTCTGTCAAGCCCTTTTTGTTCTTGCCTCACTCTCACAAGATTGAGAAGTGGCAGTGGCATATTTATCAAGAAAAGCACGACACTCAAAAATAGAGATTGTAATTCACTTCAACTGACACAACTCACAATTGAGATTGTAATTCTTTCTTCAAACTGTTGATTTTAAAGCTTGTTCCACATTGCTAAAATATCTCTTAAACTAGTATATTAGTCTTGTGGCCAACTCCATTCATCGAAATTTGGTTTTGAGTTAGATGTTTTACAATGTTATCAAAACTAGACTTTCGGAGATACAAACAAATCTCTCTATGCTAATGTCATTTATTTGATTATTAGTTTTTCATATGTTCTTGCATTATATCCATGATTCAGTCTTTTGGCTCTTCTATCAATATCTTTTAATTCTTGTCATCCATTTCGAATTGGTTTTGAATTAGTTGATTTAAAAGTTAAGTACTATGGTCATGGGTGGAGCCAGCGTATGCCCAGGGGGGCACATGCCCACCCTCAAAATTTTTTTTTTTGCTTAATATTACCTATATGTATTTTAAATATTTCTTAAATATTTTTATTTATGCCCACCCTATTTTTTTAGCAAATCAATTAGTGTACAATTATATCAAATGAATATGAATTTTTTTTGACACATTTTGGACATGTTATGTACTTATCTAGATAAATTTTGAGTATACTAGAATTATTTTATATTTTCTAAGATTAGAAAAGACAAGATATACATATTAACTAGTTTATTTTTTATTTTGACATTTATTTTACTAATTATGGTAGACATTATAGATTGCGCATTAAATTGCATAACTGAATGAGTGATAACTACCGAAGTGATAACGTGATTGTGTATATAAAGAATAATAATATTGTTATGCAATGATTTTCAATGATAAAAATTCATCGGAGTCAATTCTAAATGATTTTAATTAATCTATAAATTGTAAAATGATATAATTAGTCTTTTTTTTCCTATTGTCGTTTGTATATACTAGGCTTACAAATTTTTGGTCTATTAGATTTAATGAAATTTTAAGTATTAAATAGGATATCATTAAATATAAATTATAATCTTATTTCTATCAATTTTATGAAAGAAAATATTTAATTTGTTAAAATATTTGTGTTTACCCTAACACTATTTTCTAGTTTCGCCCCGGACTATGGTTACCAGTTTCACTATTGTTATGTTGTGGTTGAAACTAGCCTAAAAAAAAAGGACAAAAATTTGGTTGAAAGGCATAAGGAAAACATGTAGTTTTGGTATTCTCAAAATGTAAATATTCAAGCATACACTTCTGACCAAATCCCTTTACATTAGTTTTTATACTATGATATATATTTTGATTTTAGAGTACGGCATGGGAAATGAACCGTCGATACATGGGGATGTGTATAGCTATGGCATCATATTGTTGGAAATATTTATCGGAAAGAGACCCACTGATGAGATGTTTAAAGAGAGTTTAAATCTTCATAACTATGTTAAGATGACTTTACCTGAAAGAGTAGCGAATGTCGCCGATCCGAGACTTTTCCAATATGGAGAAGAGGGTGAGACGAGCATAAACCATCAGCGTCGGGATCACATACATGCTAGCAGTCACAAAATTCAGGAGTGCTTGATTTCACTATTTGGAATTGGACTCGCATGTTCACAAGAAACTCCAAGTGAGCGGTTGGACACTAGTGACATTCTAGCCAAGTTGCTTGCGGTAAGGAACCAATTCATGGAGACTGATGGCATACATGAACAGAGATCTAGAATTGGCATCCAATCTTGAATAGGTATGAACCCATCACTTTCTTAGGAATTGACTAATATATTTTCAAAAAATTTATTATATTGAAAAAATTTAAGGCTTCAATAATCACGCATGTCATATTTTTATTGAATAAAGTGGAGGTATGATACTCAAAAGTTTCATTTCGGTATCTTAGTTAGACTTCCTTTATATGACAAAGTAGGATTTGCATACACACAAATAGGGTCATTGGAATCTTGGTTTGTTCACAGGTCAAATAGCACATCAATTCTATATAAGTATCTTTTTGGTTTGAAGGCATTATTTATGTGGGACTGATTTATTACAAAGCCAATCTTTTTACTTGTCAAAACTCCTTTTTTAAATAAAAAGACAAGAGAGAGAGAGGAAAAAAAAACCTCTAACAAAAAGGTGATACTATAAGTTTTCAATGAGATAGCTTTGATATGATTTTCTGCACTCATGCTTCGTATATACTTATTTAGCAAATGGTTAGCTAACCACGATAAATGTTATATTTTCAGGCTAAAGGTGGATCACTACGGAATCTTGTATGAGACAGAAGTAATAATGCGTGCATCAAATGGTTTATCAAATTTTGCTTAGTGAATGAATGTTGATGGTTGGATTAATAGGTCTAATTAGAATTGATCCAACAACTTAGCTATATACATATTCTGGCAAACTATTTGGTAGGTATAGCAAGATTTTTTTTTTTTTTTTTGCAAAATTATGTATTATGATGTTTTGTTTGTATAATAAATGAGGGTGTTATATGTTAATTTTTGCCCACACTTCATTCATCTACAGTGACATAGTTGTCTAAGTATAGTTGCACACCATATTGAAAAGGTGGGATTAATCTTTCTGGCGTGGGCTATGACACTTGAGTCCTAGAACTCCAGGCCAAAACGTACTGGTTGAAAGCCGATGAATCTTCGTCAAGTTTAGTTGTGAGTGCTATTCTTTTTTGGGACTTTTCATACATTGCGCTCCGAAAAATATCTTGATTTCTATCTTATACCCTGAAAAATATTTTTTTTCACATTGCTCCCTAAATATGATAAATTTGTTCCAATATAGCCCACAGATTAACATCTATTTTAAATTTTGTTAAAATTTGATGCACAAGTCACTCACGTGTGTTGTTCTTGGACAAAAAATATAAACTTACTATTCATATTTTTGAGTGGCATATGCATCAATTTTTAACGAAATTTGAAACGAATGTTTGTTCGAGGGTCACATTAGAACCAATTTATGAAATTTAGGGTGTACAGTGAAAAAAATAATCTTTCAGAATGTAAAATGGGAATCGATATATCCTTCGAGTTACAAATTGTGAAAATTCCTTCTTGTTTTATTGTATAGTGAAATTTAATTTCCTGCCTAAAATGGACCGAGAAATTCATGTTAAAATGAAATATTCAAAAGATTTTCAAGAAATGCTCGTAGATTTTTCAAAATTAAAATGAAGAGTTAGGCATCATTCATTGTAAGATTTAATCTTCCAAACATCATCTTTTAAGTGAAGAATAGTAGTCCTGGCATTGGTATGTACTAAACATCTGCTTTGATACCAATAGCCATGCTTTCCACCCCTTGGTCATTTGGAACCTCGATCATACACAGGCCCATTTGAAAGGTCGGTGTTCTATTAAATTCTTTAAATAGTTTTTTGGAATTCCGCACACCTTGTAACACTTATTAAACTAAAAGTCCAAGCGGGTCGGAAAAGAATATGCATGAATTAAGATAAGGACAATTATGCAATACAAAAAATAAAAACTGTAAATGTGTACGTGTTCACCAAATATTGTTGGCTCCACCCGACGAACCTGGCTAGCTGATCAAGGGTTGACGGGCTCTCAGGCCAGAACCCTTATGTTTCAATATAACCTGATGAAGCACAAATTGGTATTACGCAAAATCAACAGTCGAGTATATGTAAATGTACAATTAATAAGCAATAAATATGTAATCAATGACAAAATAGTAAATAAGAGCAAAGACACAGATTTATAGTGATTCAGTCTGGGTGACCTACTCCGCTCTTGAAAAACGGCAACAGTGGCCGGAAGTATTTTATTGATGAATAAGTAACTGGGAGAATATACTCTGGGAGTATTACAATACTTTAGGAGAGAGAAAAAAGAGAGATGTAGAGAGGATAAGAAGTAGAGGTCTCAAAAAGGTGTCTCTCCTTGTGGAGAGAACTTACATTATATAGGTGAGATGAAGCGGTGACGTGAGGGAGAGGACACCACTTCTTTGGTAAGTATAGTTAATGTAGGATTTGATCTCCATGAGTGCATGTCCTGATATTTTCTCTCCCACATGTTGCTATCTTCCCGGGCTCTTTGGATCTTGGACTGGGTCGAATCGGTGAAGTGGGCTTAGGCAGCCTTTTAGCTAACTTGGACTCAGTTAATTTATTGGGTCAGACCCAATTGATTTTGGGCTTATCATTTGCCCCATGCCCTAAACCTCTAACTATTTATGAGAGGAGGGGGTTGGGGGCATGAGCTTCTTCTTCACTTGAGTGAGCAAAAGTTTTCTTGTTCTCCATGGCGTGTTTTCATCTTCAGGGACTCTCTGTTGAATTTAATGGCACTACATGTTGACCTTTGGGCGTTGGCGTTGGGTATTGACTATTGGGTGCTGGTGCTGAGCGGAGCACTAAACAATAACGAAACTTTGAACGATCATAATTTTGAGCTCAGTTGTCCATTTGAGACGAATTTTTTTTTTGAATTCGTGTATTTTTTTTTTTTTTAGATCTACGACATGGGGCACCAAATATCTCCAAAAAATGCTTCTTTCTCACAAAATTTGAGTTTTAAGCATAAATTAGTGAAACTGACAGTGGTGGAAAGCTACATTTATGGCAGGCAGCTGTCAGGCATTCATGGGCGACGGATTGAGATTCTGGGTTTTTGCCAGAGAGATAGATTATGATGGCTTTCGATTGGGCAAGAGGAGAACCCGCTTTCTCCAATCTTGACTTCTCCTTAATATTTTCTCGATATTAGTTATTTATACTGACCTTGTCTCTAATTACAGTCGCCCTGTGGATAGGGCGATGGTAGAGACTCTCTGTGTTTTTAGGGTGATGTCTTCTCCTTCTCCAAAGAAGGAAAGGTTTGATATCCCCAATGCTTTTCAGTCAAGGTCCGATGGCCAAATTGCTTCCTGGGAGCAGGATTCGGTGGTGTCCCAACTCCTTCCCAAACTGGGACTTCTGAGTGTACCAGAGTTAACTCTTGTACCACTATAGGAGTTGAGACTCCACTGCAATTTTTACGGGGATTATAGCTTCACCTAGCTGCCCTGTTGTTCGTGGCTCGGTGTCAATCTAATATAGTCCCACGGGTTGCAGACAACCTGAGTTTCAAAAGTATGCCTTGTAAAAACAATGTTATTCCAACATTAAAATATCTAACATGATTACTTAGAGAAAGATGCAAATTATTTGCGTTAGAGCAAAGTCAGAGCTGTGGACGTCCCGTGAGAGAGCCGTAGGAGCTGAGGCCGGACTACGTATAGTCTCAGGAGATGACTGTCGTGACAGAGACGTGCAAGGAGACTACCTGCGTGAGAGCATAGTCATAGCTGCAAATGTCCCGTGAGAGGGCTGCAGGAGCTGAGGCCGAACTACGTATAGTCTCGGGAGATAGCTGTCATGATAGAGGCTTACAAGGTGACTACTTACGCAAGAGTAGAGTCATAGCTGCAAACGTCCCGTGAGAGGGCCGTAGGAGCTGAGGTCGAGTTACATATAGTCTCGGGCTATGACTGCTGTGATAGAGGCATACAATGTGACTACTTGCGCGAGAGCAGAGTCATAGCTGCAAACGCCCCATGAAAGGGCGCCAGAGTTGAGGTCGAGCTATGTATAACTCAGGAGAGGGCTGCCGTAGTAGAGGTCATTCCATGGAGATAAGAAGGGCGCTGAAGAGCTAGGCACTTGAGGCTGGGCACCTGAGGCTGGGCGCCTGAGGTTGGACGTCTGTTGAGAGGGTCGGGCACCTGGTGCTGGATGCCTGTTGAGAGGGCCATTGTTGATTTCTCTAGCTTCATCCTCTATAAGGCACTAACAATAGTTGGTGACAAGGAAAACCTTGATGATAGTTGTTGTGGCTCGGGGAGTTGTGACTATCGTCGAGAGTATGACGACTGATGTCTTTTTGTCTACCTTGTTGTTAGGTCATGTTCTAATTTTTGTAAGCTATTTGTAAATTTTAGAAAAACAAGACATTTCAGACACAATAATCTTTGTAGAATTTTATTTAATAAAATAATAAATAATAAAATAAATCATCTGAAACAACAAAGGGTAGATAAAATATTCAAGTGTTTGGTGTCCCATAGGTGGGCCAAGACTTTCCTAGGGGAGTTCGAGTCACCTCCTCCTCCTGGCCCTCAGGAGATCGTCTGAATTTCTCCAAGGGGTTGTTGGCATTCTCTGTCATCCTGGTCCCGACTAGGTGGCGGGGCTTGTCCTTTGCCAGCAACGTACTGCTTCAAGTGGCCACGCTGCATGAGTTCCTCGATCTGTCTTTTAAGATCAAAGTAGTCATTAGTATCCTGATCGTGGTCATGATGGAAACGATAGTACTTGTTCGGGCTTCTCTGGTTTGGGGCGGTCTTCATCTTCTATGGCCAAAGTATTGTAGGATCATTCTGCATTTGAAACACGATATGGTCCACAAAAGCATTGAGTGCTGTGAAGGCTTGTCGCTCTCTTAGAGGCGGGGGACCAAGGTAGTCCTTGACAGAGATTCTCTATGTCCTATTCCTTTTGTTTTCTGTTTCCTGTTTGTCCTCACGGGTGTCTTTTCTCTTCTTGTCCCCATGGGATGACTCACCTCATCTGGCTTTGGTAACATTCTTGGCGTTCATATACTTTTGTGCCCTTGACAACAACTCGGGCATGCTGGATGGTGGCTTCTTGAGGACGAAGAACATAAAGTTAGAGGAGCGCATACCCGCAATAAAGGCGACTAGAGCTACTTTATCGTTTGGCTCCTCAATCTGAAGAGTCTTCTCATTGAAACAGACGAGGTAGTTCCTGAGGCTTTCATCTGTGTCCTGCTTGATAGTGAACCAGTGGGTCATAGGTTTCTGATGTCAGCGTCCCCCAGTGAAGTAGGAGACGAAGGATCTACTCTCCGTGAAGGAGTGGATGAAGGAGGGTTTAATCTTTGCGAACAATTGGCGAGCAGACCCCTTCAAGGTGGTAGGGAGGACTCTACACATAATCTTCTCAGGCACATTATGGAGTTGCATGAGAGATTTACGTGTGTCAAGATGGTCGAGGGGGTCTTTGGTACCATTGAAGATCTCGATGGTAGGCATTTTCAACTTCGAGGGTAAAGGATAATTGACTATGTCTGCAACAAAAAGTGTATCAGTATGTCTTGACTTTGTCCTTCTGCGCAAAGAGGTGTGGAGGGGAAACACGTGAGCTCCCTGCGCGCTGAGGAGGGACTACTGGGCGAGGGGTGCCCTGGCGTTGCCCTGGGGCATTTTGGCGAGGGGCCCCATGGTGAGGGGGCTCCTTCCTGTGCAAGCATCAACTGAATGATCTGCTAGTTTTGGTTTACTAGCAGCTGCATGGTTTGTAAGACTTGTTGCCCAACGATGGGAGTCACCGTGGCAGATGGTTCCAAGGGTGCGAGGGGAGGCCGAACCTCCTTCCGATGGGCCGGGTGGTTGTCTCCCAGTTGTTGACTCATCAATCTAGTCGTGATTGCCATGGATTATAAGAGAGTAGAAAACTTAGTCATTTCCCACAGACGACGCCAAACTGATGAAGCACAAGTTAGTATTACGCAAAATCAACAGTCAAGTATATGTAAGGGTGTAATTAATGAGCAATAATTAGGTGATCAATGGTAAAATAGTACATAAGAGCAAACACACAGATTTATAGTGGTTCAGTCTGGGTGATCTACTTCATTCTCGAAAAACGACAACGGTGGCTGGAGGTATTTTATTGATGAATAAGTAACTGGGAGAATATATTCCGGGAGTATTACAATGCTTTAGGAGAGAGAAACAAGGGAGGTGTAGAGAGGACAAGAAGTAGAGGTCTCAAGGTGTAGAGGTTTCAAAAAGGTGTCTCTACTTGTGGAGAGAGCTTACATTATATAGGTGAGGTGAGGCAGTGACGTGAGGGAGAGGGCACCACTTCTTTGGTAAGTACAGTTATGGTAAGATTTGATTTTCATGAGTGCATGTCCTGATATTTTCTCTCCCACGTGCTTCTATCTTCTTGAACTCCTTAGATCTTGGATTGGATCGAATCGGTGAAGTGGGCTTGAGCTGCCTTTTAGCTGACTTAGGCTCAGTTAATTTATTGGATCTAACCCAGTTGATTTTAGGCTCATCATAACCAATGATGATATCATTGGTTTTGAAAAGGCATAGCTTGAATTGGATCTCACCGTCCAATAATGAGCCTTTCTTGTGAAGTATTATCAGTGATAATAATTGATCTACTACTTTAACTTGTTCTAATTTTATCGTGTTTGAATTAAGTGAAGGTCTATTGTCCTGGCACCAATCCCGGCCCCCGTTTGGATGAGAGATTATATGTCATATTAAATTTTTTTTTTTGATCTAATATGTCATATTAATTTACCCTACATGAATTAAACACTCTATGATCTATTAAGGATGCTTTTGTTGTTTTGAACGTTAGTATCGACCATGTATACCACACATTATGTCACAATGTTTTATACCAAATATGTGGAGTGAAATGGCACTGTAACAAAAAAAAAATATATATATATATATATATATATATATATATATATATATTATATTCTTTAAAAAAAATTGAAGGTGGCCTGTGCCTACCTTTGTCCATGCAGTTAGTATTGTGTCACTATCAGATCTTTTTCTAGAGTTGATTTGCATGACTTTGTCGACTTGAGTATTGAACATGTGTCGTCTGAATCAACAGTTTGGACTTATCCTTACAATCATCATGTAGCAAGGGCAAGAAGGCAGGGGAAATTCCAATTGTAAAAACCAAGTATCAAACTAATTCTTATTTGATCCTTGAAATTCTTATTGTAAAAACCAAGTCCTTAGAATTTAATTTGGTTTCAATTTAGTCTTTATATCAAAATTCGGCAGAACCGGACCGTTGGGGAGTAGACCCTTTGTTTGACTTATTACATGGCTTTTCACCAGATACTATCTGGCTGCTACAATCCAGTTAAGTCCCCTATAATATGAACTCCATTTGTCCTTACCTTTGACCACTCTTCAACCATAGCAGCTTTATGCTACAAACCCATAGGGACCTAAACACCATTACTGGAGTAAAGAACCTGAAAATTTTCAATTCAAAAGGACTTTTGGGACCATCCCAGATGAACTTAACTTCGTTCTTGTTATTTGCTTCCCGAAACATTATGTTCCTGCTATGTGTGGTTTTGGGCTTCAATCAAATTACCATTGCTGCTCAACATGGCAACGAGACGGACAAGCTATCATTGCTCGCATTCAAGTCCAACATAACCAACGATCCTTTTGGGGTCCTGAGCTCATGGAATGAATCCGTTCACTTCTGCCAGTGGCGTGGTGTGATATGCGGCCATAGACACCAGAGGGTGATCATGTTGGACCTAGGATCTCAAAAGCTAACAGGGTCCATATCGCCTTATATTGGAAATTTGAGCTTTCTAAGAAGATTACATTTACAGAACAATAGCTTCAGTCATGTAATCCCTCGTGAACTTGGCTTTTTGCAAAGACTCGAATATTTATGGCTGTACAATAATTCGATTTCTGGCACAATTCCTGACAATATCTCTACTTGCTCTAACCTTATCGGCTTCGATGTTTCTTACAACCAGCTAGTGGGGAAGATTCCAATGGAGCTTGGCTCTTTGTTAAAACTTGAAGTTGTTTCCATTAGCTTTAACAATCTTACAGGTACTATCCCTCCTTCTTTAGGGAACTTATCGTCTCTTGTTAAACTTAATCTAGCGTACAATGATCTTGTTGGGAGTATCCCAACAACGCTTGGGCAAGTATCAAAACTTGAATACTTTGCACTGCCAGTTAACAGATTGTCTGGTACCATTCCTTCCTCAATCTTCAATCTCTCTTCTTTAACGACGTTTACCGTGACGGTAAATCAAATCCAAGGGACTCTCCCTGCGGACTTGGGCACCACTCTTCCAAATCTTGAATTCTTTGCCATTACCACAAACCAATTTACCGGTTCCATTCCAGTTTCAATGTCTAATATGTCAAATCTGGCCTATCTTCAAGCCATGGAAAACAATCTTACAGGGAGTGTTCCTCATTTTGAAAAGTTGCACAAGCTTCGTTGGTTTACAATCTCTAGAAATCAGCTTGGAGGTCTAGAATCCAATGACTTGAGCTTCATCTCGTCTTTGACAAATGCCACTGATTTAGAAATACTGGCTCTTGATAATAACAATTTTGGAGGGGTGTTGCCCGAATCCTTTGCAAACCTCTCAATCAATCTTGTAGGGTTGTGGCTAGGAAACAATCAAATATATGGAAGTATTCTAAATGGGATAGCCAATTTCATCAACTTGACACGTATTCAAATAAGTGGCAACCGATTTAGTGGAAATATTCCCCCTGATATTGAGAAGCTTCAAGACCTTGGAGTTTTGCAATTATCCCGGAACAGATTCTCAGGGATAGTTCCTTCCTCCTTAGGAAATTTAAATCAGTTGACACTAATCTATCTATCGGACAACAACTTTCATGGAAACATCCCTTCCAGTTTGGGGCAATGTACAAATTTGTTAGTATTGGACCTTTCTCAAAACAATCTTAGTGGCACAATACCTCTACAAATTTTCGGTCTCTCATCCTTGTCATATATTTACTTCTCTCAGAACCAAATAACTGGTTCCTTTCCTGCCGAAGTTGGGAAATTAAAAAGCCTTGAATTACTGGATGTTTCTGAGAATCTCTTTTCTGGTGAAATTCCCAGCACTCTTGGTAGTTGTGTGGGATTGGAAGGCCTCAACATGCAAGGAAACTTCTTTCGAGGGACCATCCCTTCATCTTTCAGTACTTTGAGTGGTATGCAGTCTTTAGATCTTTCGTACAACAATTTGTCGGGCCAAATTCCAGAGTATTTGGAGGGCTTTGATTTGCAATATTTAAATTTATCATTTAATGATCTTGAAGGACCGGTTCCAAATGAAGGCATCTTTAAGAATGCAAGTGAATTTTCGGTAAACGGAAACCCAAAACTCTGTGGGGGTTTATCTATACTACAGCTTCCTAGATGCAACTTTAAACAGTCTAAGAAAAATGGCCTAAGCTTTAAGCTTAAGCTAATAATCTCCATAGTTTTTGGGTTTCTTGGACTAAGCTTGGTGCTGGGGTTTGTATACTTTTTGGTGTTTAGGAAGAGCAAGCAAGTGCCTTATGCAGATTCATCTTCATCAAGATTGGATTTTAAAACTCTCCTTCGAGCTACCAATGGTTTTTCTTCATCTAATTTGATTGGTGTGGGTAGTTATGGATCTGTTTATAAAGGAATTCTTGATCATGATGAAACATTTGTTGCCGTGAAGGTGTTTAACCTTCTACACCATGGAGCTTCCAAGAGTTTCATGGCCGAGTGTGAGGCTTTAAAGAATATCAGACACCGAAATCTTGTCAAGGTGCTGAGTGTATGCTCAGGTGTCGATTATCATGGTAAGGATTTCAAGGCTTTGGTGTTTGAGTTCATGATGAATGGTAGTCTAGACGAGTGGTTACATGACAATTCAAGTGAAAGTTTGTCAAATGTTGAGCCCAAGAAATTAAGCCTCCTTCAGAGATTGAACATTTCCATTGATGTTACTTGTGCGCTGGATTATCTACACAATGACTGCCAAGCACCAATAGTCCACTGTGATATCAAGCCAAGCAATGTTCTTTTGGACAATGAGTTGGTTGGTCATTTAGGTGACTTTGGGTTAGCAAAATTCCTTTCAATAGCCTCCCAAAATTTGACTACAAATCAAAGCAGCTCTGCTGGTATAAGAGGAACTATTGGTTACACTGCACCAGGTAGTATGCTTTCCACCATGTCTAATTTGTTTGTATTTCGCATTTTCTTCCCTTCCATTTGCATACGCAATAGAGTCACATGAAACATGACACACGACTGTTTTTGTAGGTCTTATCAAAATTTTTTGATACTATCGAATATTCTCTTTATCTTTCGGATAATTTTCTTTGTGGTATTGAATGGCATATACCAACCATGATGAGTTTGGAAGCAATTTTACACAAAAGTTTGTAACTTTCCACATTATGATTCTGCATTTCTGATACATGGTGTTCTGCATGAGTTTTCTTCTACTTGCTTTTAACCAAATTCGTTTTAATTATTGTTGGATGTGGCCAATCACAAAACGTGTTTTCCAGAGTACGGGATGAGAAGTGAGGTTTCAACATGTGGTGATGTTTACAGCTTCGGCATCCTCCTATTGGAAATGTTCACGGGGAAGAGGCCTACAAATGACATGTTCAAAGATGATTTTGACCTTCAAAACTTTGCTAAGGCAGCTTTGCCTGACGGAGTATCTGAGGTTGTGGATCCAATACTTCTCCAGGAAATAGAGGAGGAGGAGACGAGCAGAAGAAACACAAAAGAGCACGGGTTTATAAGAAGCCACAAGACTCAGAACTGCCTGATTTCTGTACTGAGAGTTGGAGTTGCTTGTTCCTCAAAACTGACAGCCGAACGACCAAACATTGCTGTTGCCGCTGCTGAGTTGCAATCCATCAGGAATGTTCTTCTTGGAACTGGTATAAACCGAGAAAGACGAGCAATGAAATAGTAGGCAATCCCACAAGGGGCAGTATTAGATTAAAGTGTAAGTCAGAATTGGAAGGAGGGGTCTGGATTCAACAAATAGCCTCAATGTTTATTTGGGAGAATACACCAATTTCTCTCTTTTGTTCAGATTTTATTTTTGTTTAAATGTTACACATTGCTAGATGGCTTCTTTTTTAGTTTGTGTGTGGAAGTTCAAGCACCCTTTGAATTTTTCATTGGTCAGGCATGATCACACAAGTGAATGACTGAAATTTTTGTTATTGTGCTTTGCCAAGGTTTCATGAACGCGATATTAACCATTAACTCATAGGGCATCGGTTGGGTGTCTTGAAATGGTATTGAGTAATTCATATGAGAAATTACATAAAAAAAAAGTCAATTACGATTGCATATTTGGGTTATATTGTGATGAATTAAAACACTACGGACCAAAATAGTCCACAAGTATATTATCTAGATATTAGTGGAGACACCTAAACAAAAAGTCTTCGTCAAGAGATTCGAGGCCCACATCAACGCAACATTAAAATAATTAATTGGTGTGCTATGGCACTTGAGTATATGAAATTTAGGGTATTTTATTTTATTTTTCATTTTTTGAATATAAGATTTTTGCTGAGATAGCATTAGGGTAGGGAGTAATACCATAAAAAACTTTTTATTGTTTTTGTCGTGACAAATTTCTACTTGCACAAAAATATTATGCTTAAGAACTTAATTTGGTGATCTAATATGATGATCTATTACACTATGACCATAGGAGTAGTAGTGGTTCCCATCATTAGTTAGTGTTCACTATTGATTCAATCCTCAAAACGCATTAAGTCCCTAGTGAGACCAATAAATTAGGTTCAAATAGTATGACTATCTAAAAATTGGTGTCTTGGTCGAGAGAATCAAGACTCGTTTCAAGGAAGGGCGGGCCCCAACACAACATTTGTAGCCTTATTTATTTTTTTTGAAAAAATTACGTTCAAATTCTCTAAGGTTTGTCAGTTAATCACTTTAATATCTTGATATTTAAAATATTACTCACTGACCTTTGAAGTTTGTACGTACGTAACACTTAGACCCTTACCGTCAATGTATATTCTCCGTTAGTAAATTATACCTAAATCTCCTAAAGTTTATAAGCGTGTAATACGTAGATCTTTCAAGTTTAAAATTTTACACTTAGACTAAAAATATTCCAATTAAATATAAAATATGAAATATTTTAAATTTTATAACCAAAATTAATGTTCTAATATTTTATTTATTGAAATAAAAAATATATTTTTTTTCTTAAAAAATAATATTTAGTACTATTGATATCAAAATTTAGACGACCTACACATCAATTTGTTTGGCTTCAATCACTTGAAAAAGAAGTTGGAGACCAGAGGTAAGCTCTGGAGGTTGACTCTTTGCTGGCTAAATCAATAATGACTAAAGATATGAACTATATACAGTAATCAGTATAAATATATTACAAAATTTAATTTAACACTCATTTGTATATAATTATATTGTGTATTGGTAAAATTAAAAAATTAAACAAGATCTCAAACTGTAATTGACACAATATCTTCTATCTTTAATTGGGGTAATTTGGTTATTTAATAGATTCCGTAAGTTCTGTAACTAATAAGGGGTTTAAGTGTAATATTTTAAACTTGAAGGGTCTAAGTGTTACATGCTTATAAACTTTAGAAAGTCTTAGTATAATTTATTAACGGATAGATTAATGGATATTAATGATAGGGGTCTAAATATTGCGTGTGTACAAATTTTAGAAAGTTTGTGTGTACCATTTCCAATGTTAAGGAAAAACTTTCGAAAAGAAAACAAGAAAGTATAAGAAAAGCTTTTAAAAAAATGAGTCAATCTCCATCATCATTTCATTCAGTTCATGTACAACAAGTATGTTTTTTATTGGTTGTAATATTTTTGTATGTTACAACACCCACACCCACACCCACATCCACAACCCTCATTGCCACTGCCATTAACACCACCAGTTTAAACGAGACGGATCAACTTGCCCTGCTAGCCTTCAAGCGAAAGATCATGTATGACCCTCAAGGTGTTGTGAGCTCCTGAAATGATTTTTTCCATTTCTGCAATTGGGATGGTGTTTCATGCGGTCTTCGGCACAAAAGAGTAACCATCATAGATGTAGGATCCAGAGGTTTAGTAGGCACCTTATCAGGGAGTCTGTGTGTAACATTTCAAATATAAAAAAAAACTATTGAAAAGAAAGCAAGAAAGTTGAAGAAAAGCTTTTGAAAAATGAGTCCATCTCCATCATCATTTCATTCAGTTCATGCACAACAATATGTATTTCATTGGTTATAATATTGTGGTATAACACCCACACCCTTCACTGCCACTGCTATTAAGACCACTAGTTTAAATGAGACAGATAGACTTGTCCTGCTAGCCTTCAAGCGAAAGATCATGTATGACACTCAAGGTGTTGTGAGCTCTTGGAATGATTATTTCCATTTCCGCAACTGGGATGGTGTTACATGCGGTCTCCGACACAAAAGAGTACCCGTCATAGATGTAGGATCCAGAGGTTTAGTAGACACCTTGTCTCCTTATGTTGGAAATCTCAGCTTCCTTCAAACCTTGTGGCTCGCCAACAACACTTTTCATGGTGAAATCCCTCCCGAACTTGGTCCCCTTTTCAAGCTTCAAGATTTGAGATTCCACAATAACACCTTTCATGGAGAAATCCCTGTTAAGAAATATAGGGTTATTTTATTTATTAAGGGTAGAATAATCTTTTACTTTTTCTACCTTATTTAGCTTATACCTAGTCTCTTTGTATGTAGGTTAAATTATTCCCTTGTATTCAATTAAATTATGCAGTATTAATAAAACTCTAGTTTCCTCTCTTTCTTATCTCTTGTATGTCTTTAGATTGTTTAACATGGTATCAAAGCAAAGTTTCATGGGACAAGGCTGAATCTCAAACACAATTTACGCGGATCCAACTGGTATTTGTTCTGTGTTTTTTTTTGGCAATTTGGTATTGGTTCCCTTTTTGCAATCTGGTTTTCTTTGTTTGTTGATTATGGCTACTGCAAGAGACGATTCACTTCAGTCTGTGAGTGTGAGGTTGGATGGAAAGAATTATTCGTATTGGAGTTATGTGATGAGAAATTTTTTTAAGGGTAAAAAGCTATGGGGATATGTTAGTGGAACTTCTGTGAAACCTAAGAATACGGATGCGGGTTATGTTGATTTGATAGATGTCTGAGAAGCAGACAATGCAAAAATTATTACTTGGATCAACAATTCTGTTGAACATTCTATAGGTACGCAGTTGGCAAAGTATGAGACAACAAAGAAGGTTTGGGATCATTTGCAAAGGTTATTCACTCAATCAAATTTTGCAAAGCAGTATCAATTGGAGCATGACATACGAGCTCTTCAAAAAAAGAATATGAGTATTCAGGAGTTTTATTCTGTTATGACAGATCTTTGGGATCAATTGGCTCTTACAAAATCTGCTGAATTAAAGGCATGTGGTGCCTATATTGCTCGTAAAGAGCAGCAACAGTTGGTACAGTTTTTTATGGCACTTCTTAGTGAATTTGAAAGACTTAGAGGTTCAATTTTGCATCGTTCTCCACTTCCTTTTGTTGACTCAGTTGTCAGTGAGTTATTGACTGAAGAGATACGTCTTAAGTCTTATTCTGACAAGGAAATTCTTTCTACTGCTGATCCTTCTATGTTAGCAGTACCTTCTAAACTATTCTCTCATAATCAGAATAAGCCTTACACAAGACCTATCTTCGACGAATGCAGTTTCTGTAAGCAGAAAGGTCATTGGAAGTCTCAATGTCCTAAGTTAAGACAGCAGAATCAATTGCAACAGCAATCTCAAGCTTGGAAGTCTGGCAACCAGTCACAATCTAATGCTTCTAGACCACCTCAGGGTTACAAACCACCACAGTCTAATACTGCAGCAATAGTTTCATCAGGTCCTTTCACCGATTCTAGTACCTTGGTTGAGCAATTTCAGAAGTTTCTCTCCTTACAGCCACAAGCTATGTTTGCTTCTTCTTTAGGAGGTCAGTTGCCTCATAGTTCTCCAGGTATGTCACATTTTGTATGGGTCTTGAATTCTAGTGTCTCACATCATATGTCTCCAGATTCTTCATCTTTTGCTTTTGTATCTCTTTCATCTTATATTCCTGTTATGACTGCTGATGGCACTCTTACGGCTTTAACAGGTGTTGGTTCTGTTGTCACACCTCACTTGTCTCTCCCTAATGTTTATCATATTCCAAAACTCACATTAAATATTACTTCTGTTGGTCAGTTATGTGATTCTGAAAATTTAGTCACATTTTCCTCTTCTTCTTGTTATGTGCAGGATCTGCAGTCTCAAAAGCGGATTGGGATAGGCCGTAGGAAGGGAGGACTATATATTTTGGATGAGGTAAAAGTGTCAATTACTGCTGCTACTACTAGTGTTGATTTATCTTCTTTTCGTTTGAGTCTTTCTTCTTCTAGTTTTTATTTATGGCATTCTCGTTTATGTCATGTTTCGTCTTCTCGTTTGAGATTTTTGCCATCCACAGGGGCTTTAGGAAATTTGAAAATTTGTGATATTTCTGATTGTAGTGGATGTAAACTGGCAAAATTTTCAGTTTTACCTTTTAATCGAAGTATTTCTATTTCTTCTTCTCCATTTGATTTGATTCATTCTGATGTATGAAGACTTTCTCCTATTACCACAAAAGGAGGGTCTCGATATTATATTTCTTTTATTGATGATCATACTCGTTATTGTTGGATTTATTTAATGAAACATCGTTCAGAATTCTTTGAGATATATACAGTCTTTCAAGCTCTTGTCAAAACTCAACATTCTGCTGTTATCAAATGTTTTAGGTGTGATTTGGGTGGGGAATACACTTCTAATAAATTTGTTGAGTTGTTTGCCTTAGATGGAACTATTCACCAAACTTCGTGTACAGATACTCCTGAGCAAAATGGTGTTACTGAAAGAAAACATAGGCACATTGTTGAAACTGCTCGTTCTCTCTTGTTGTCTTCTTATTTTCCTAGTGAGTTTTGGGGTGAAGCTGTTCTTACTGCTATAGGTTTGATTAATACAATTCCATCTTCTCATATTTCAGGCGTTTCTCCTTTCAAAAAATTGTATGGGTATGCCCCTGATTATTCTTCATTTAGAGTTTTCAGTTGTATTTATTTTGTTCTTCGTCCTCATGTTGAACACAACAAGCTGTCCTCTCGATCTGCTATTTGTGTCTTTCTTGGATATGGTGAAGGTAAAAAGGGGTATCGTTGTTTTGATCCAATAACTCAAAATCTTTATGTGTCTCATCATGTTGTTTTTCTTGAGCATATACCTTTCTTTTCTATTTCATCCACTACTTATAGCTTGACTAGATCTGATCTTATTCTTATAGATCATTTTTTTGATGATTCTGATAATTTGTCATCTCAGGTTTCTAATACTTCAAATATCAGCACTGATCATTCTACAAGTACTANTACTGACACTTTACTCTCTAGCACACCTGAAGCTACCTCCTCTCCTATGGTCCCTCCAGCTCCGTCTGAGATTGTGGATCCACCTTAACATTAATCCACACACATTCGTAAGTCCACAAAGTTACCAAATTTTACTTATTCTTGTTATTCTTCATCTTTTACTTCCTTTTTAGCTTCTATTCATTGTCTCTCTGAGCCCTCTTCCTATAAAGAGGCAATTCTTGACCCTCTTTGGCAGCAAGCTATGGATGAGGAACTTTCTGCTTTGCATAAGACAGGTACTTGAAATTTGGTTCCTCTACCTCCTGGTAAGAGTATTGTTGGTTGTCGGTGGGTGTATAAGATTAAGACCAATTCTGATGGATCTGTTGAGCGATACAAAGCTAGGTTGGTTGCAAAAGGGTACTCTCAACAATATGGTATGGATTATGAGGAGACATTTGCTCCTGTTGCAAAAATGACTACTATTCGTACTCTTATTGCAGTTGTTTCGGTTCGTCAGTGACATATCTCTCAACTTGATGTTAAAAATGCCTTCTTGAATGGGGATCTTCAAGAAAAAGTTTATATGACTCCCCCTCCTGGTGTTTCACATGATTCTGGGTATGTTTGCAAGCTCAAGAAAGTGTTATATGGTCTCAAACAAGCACCTCGTGCTTGGTTTGAGAAATTTTCCGTTGTGATCTCTTCCATTAGATTTACTTCTAGTAGTCATGATTCTGCTCTTTTTGTTAAGTGCACTGATGTAGGTCGAATCATTCTATCTTTATATGTTAATAACATAATTATTACTGATGATGATATTAATGGTATTTCAGTTTTGAAGACAGAGTTGGCTAGACAGTTTGAAATGAAGGATTTGGGTTCTCTACGATATTTCTTGAGTATTGAGGTAGCCTACTCACCCAGAGGTTATCTTCTTTCTCAGTCGAAATATGTTGCGGATATTATTGAGCGAGCTAGACTTACTGATAATAAGACTGTAGATACTCCCATTGAGGTTAACACAAAGTATTCCTCTTTTGATGGTTTACCGTTATCAGATCCTACTTTATACCGTACTATTGTTGGGAGCTTGGTATATCTCACTATTACTCGTCCAGATATTGCATATGTTGTTCATGTTGTTAGTCAGTTTGTTGCTTCTCCTACTATAGTTCATTGGGCAACGGTTCTTCGTATTTTGAAGTATCTTCGGGGTACAGTCTTTCAGAGCCTTTTACTTCCATCCACCTATTCCTTGGAGTTGTGTGCATACTCTGATGCTGATCATGACAGTGATCCCACAGATCGCAAATTTGTTACTGGTTTCTGTATCTTTTTGGGTGATTCTCTTATTTCTTAGAAGAGCAAGAAACAATCTATTGTTTCTCAATCTTCAACCGAAGCAGAATATCGTGCTATGACATCTACTACCAAAGAGATTGTTTGGTTACGTTAGTTACTTGCAGATATGGGAGTTTCTCTTTCTCATCCCACTCTTATGTATTGTGACAACAGGAGTTCTATTCAGATTGCTCACAACTCGGTTTTTCATAAACGAACTAAACACATTGAGATCAATTGTCACCTTACTCGTCATCATCTCAAGCATGACACCATTACTTTACCCTTTGTTTCTTCTTCTTTGCAGATTGCAGATTTCTTTACCAAGTCGCATTCTATTTTTCGTTTTCGTTTTCTAGTTGGCAAACTCTCGATGCTTGTCGCTGCTACATCGTGAGTTTGAGGGGAGATGTTAACAAATATAGGGTTATTTTATTTATTAAGGGTATAATAGTTTTTTACTTTTTCTACCTTGTTTAGCTTATATATAGTCTCTTTGTATTTAGGTTAAATTATTCCCTTGTATTCAATTAAATTATGCAGTATTAATAAAATCCTAGTCTCCTTTCTTTCTTATTTCTTGTATGTCTTTAGATTGTTTAACAATCCCAACATCTTTATCTCGTTGTTCTGAACTCACCAACGTCAATGTCGCTCGAAATAAGCTAGATGACAAAATTTCAAAAGACTTTAGTTCCTTGTCAAAGCTCACTACTCTTGTGGTTCACAACAACAATTTGTCAGGAGAGATTCCATCTTTCATCCAGAATCTTACGTCTCTAGAAGTTTTTTTTTGCATCTAAAAATCGTTTAAGGGGAAGTATCCCGACCCCCTGGGCCAACTCAGAAACTTTAGAATTTTAGAGGTGGGTGTGAATAAACTCTATGGTATGATCCCTCTTTCTATTTACAATATTTCCACCTTAATTGATCTGGCTTAGGAGTTTAATCAACTACATGGTAATCTTCATCCAAGCATAGGTATAATGCTTCCTCATCTTCAATTGCTTGAAAGATCGGATAACCTACTTACCAGACCACTCCCACTCTCACTCTCCAATTTGATGGAATTGGAAATGCGTGGACTGGGATACAAAAATTTCACTGGAAAAATATCAATCAATTTTGGAGGCCTAAAGAAGATTACAAAAGTAGATCTGTTTGTGAATAATTTTGGAACTGGGGACCTGATGAACTGAGTTTCATTAGTTCTATGGTAAACTATAGCAATTTGTGAGTATTGGATGTAGGGGACAACACATTGAGAGGGGTGCTACCAAAGTCTATAGGGAATCTTTCAACCAAACTCTTTTATCTAATACTTGGTGGAAATCCTATATATGGAGATCTCCCATCCACAATAGGTAATTTTTTTAACTTAGCTCTATTAGGTCTCTATGAAAATCAATTCACAGGTACAATTCCCACCACCATTGGCAATCTCCAAAAGTTACAAAGAATGGCTCTTTAAAAAAAAAAGGCAACAATCTTTCAAGAAAAATTCCTAATTCTATAGGAAACTTGTCACTGATAAACGAACTTTACTTGGGGAGTAATAGATTAGAGGGTACCATTCCCCCAAGTCTTGGAAGCTGCCAACATTTGTTGTTTTTAAATCTTTCCAGAAATAATCTTAGTGGAACCATACCCAAACAAATTTTTAAACTTTCATCTTTGTCAATTTTGCTAAGTATAGCTCAGAATCGTTTACATGGATCCCTACCATCAAAGGTTGGACTACACAAAAACATAGCGGAATTGGATTTATCTGAGAATAACTTATTTAGTAGCATTCCGAGTAGTCTAAGTAGTTGTACTAGCCTTAAAAAGCTCTATTTAGAGGGAAATTCTTTCTGCGGTTGAATTCCTCCATCACTGAGGTCTTTGAAAGGCCTCCAGACCTTTGATATTTCTCGAAACAACTTGTCTGGACAAATGCGATACTTTTTGGAGAAAATTTCTTTTACAAACTTGAATTTATCATTTAACAATTTTGAGGGTAAGGTTCCCAATACAGGAGTTTTCAAAAACGCAAGTGCTATATAAATTGTCGGCAATAGTAGACTATGTGGTGGAATATCTGAACTAAACTTGCCCGAATGCACCATCAAAATGACAAAGGAAAAGAAGATGTCTCTTGCACATATATTAATTATCTCGGAAACTTCTACTATTGTTGGGATTGCCCTGGTATCATGTTTCATGTATTGGTTGTTGAAGAAGAAAAGAAAAGTTCCATCTACAGAATCAATGGAGTCGGAACAATTTTCTCCCAAAAATTTGATTGGTGTGGGTAGTTTTGGTTCTGTGTATAAAGGAATCCTTGATGAGGGAGGATTGACGATTGCTGTCAAAGTACTTGACGTCATGCGCCATGGAGCTTCCAAGAGTTTCATGGCTGAGTGTGAAGCCTTGAGAAATATTCGACATAGAAATCTTTTAAAGATCATAACATCTTGTTCAAGTGTTGATTTTCAAGGTAATGATTTCAAAGTTCTGGTGTATGAGTTCATGCCTAATGGTAATCTAGAAAGGTGGTTGCACTCCAATATAGAAATGAACAATACAATGAATGGGCTTTCAAGCTTAAATCTTCTTCAGAGAATAGACATTTCTATTGATATGGCTTGTGCACTTGATTGTCTTCATAACCACTGTGAAAAGCCAATCATTCATTGTGATCTGAAGCCTAGAAAAGCACTTATTAACCATGACATGGTTGCCCATATTGGAGACTTTGGGTTGACAAGGTTTCATCCAAGATTCACAAATACAGTTCATAGTTCGACTGGAATAAAATGAACGATTGGATATGTAGCTCCAGTTAATCATGTTACTTAACATATATTAATTTTCATCCCAATATCAACATACATTACTAGAAATTAAATTTTTATTGGCAAGATTTGGTTTGCGGCTAATAATGTTGCCATTAAGTATACGTATTTGTTGTACATTATAGCATTGAGATCCTGGCTAGCCACAACTCTTTCTTTGCCGCATTCGTTTATGCTCATAATGAGGCATATCCTAGAAAGCCTCTTTGGAATAACCCGATTCAAAGAGCCCAATCACTATGTCATAGTCCTTGGTTTGTGCTAGGGGATGTCATCAAATCTTTCTCTGAACAAATCGGAAGCTGCAGCATCAGAGACAAAGGCTCAAGTGATTTTCGTGATTGTCTTTTCAAGACTAAACTGGAGGACCTCAAGTACTCTGACATTCAATATACCTGGTGTAACAGGCAATTTGATGGGGGTATAATTGCTTGCAAACTTGACAGAGTGTTAGTAAATGAGGTATGGGGGAGAACTTTTCTTGCCTCGGAGGCTGAGTTCCTTACCGCTGGAGTTTCTAATCATTTTATTGCGCTGGTAAGATTGGGGGTTGGACTTCCTTGAGTGAGGAGGCCCTTTAAATTCTTTGATTTTTTGGCGAAACATCAAGATTTTTTTTCCACTGTTTCGAGAGTTTGGAATACTCCACTGAGGGGCACTCCAATATTCAAAGTATGCCAAAAATTGAAGTTACTAAAGAAAGAGCTAAAAGAGCTAAACAAGAGGAATTATAGTAATCTTTCTGAAAGAGTTCTGGATGCCAAACGAGCTCTTGAAGATATTCAAAAATTGACTGATAGAAATCCAAACAACCAAGAACTTTGGATCATCGAGAAAGAGAAGCTCCAACAATACATAGAGCTTCAGGAAGCAGAGGAAAGCTTTCTAAAGCAAAAATCAAGGATCCAGTGGCTAAACCTTGGTAATCAAAATTACGATTTTTTCTTTAAATCCATTAGCAAATAGAGAATCCACAGAAGGCTAACTATTATTCAAAAAGAAGATGGAACTAGAATTGATGATTTTGAAGATATCAAGAAGGAGGTGGTCCAGTATTACAAACTGCTGCTTGGTTCTCCTTCTCCCCCATTTGTTTTGAACATGCAATGGGTGAGAAATTTTATCAGTAACAACATCACACAAACACAAGTAGATTCTATGGTGCAAAATGTCACAAGAGAAGAAGTCAAACAAACCATGTTCTCTATGAAAGATGGCAAAGCCCCCAGTCCTGATGGCTACCCTACTTGTTTTTTTAAGAAGGCTTGGCATATTGTTGGGAATGAAGTAACAAATGTCGTCCTCTCATTTTTCAGTTCTGGGACATTATTGAAAGAGGTGAACTCTACCATTATTGCCCTTGTCCCAAAAGTTCCCAACCCCATAAAATTATCTGACTGTAGACCTATATCATGTTGCTTAACAATCTACAAGTGTATCTCATAGGTTATAGATAACAAAGTTAAAGTGGTCCTCCCCGAGCTTATTGATAAATCTCAATCTGCTTTCATTAAAAAAAGAACCATTTCGGATAACATCTTGCTCTCCTAAGAACTCCTCAGGAACTATCACTCTAATAGAGGCAATCCAAGATGTATTGTGAAAGTTGATATCATGAAAGTCTTTGATAATGTTAGATGGAATTTTATCTTTGTTGTTCAATGCCATATGGGATTTCCTATGAAAGTCATTGGGTGGATTGAGGCGTGCATTATTTCTCCTATGTATTCAGTTAGCATCAATGGTGAACTTAATGGATATTTTGCAGGTAGAAAAGGTCTTAGGCAAGGGAATCCATTGTCCCCTTACCTCTTTGTTATCCTTATAGAAGTTTTTCTCGGGTCTGATGAAGATGGCTACTCATCTGGGTAAGTTTACTTATCATTGGAGATGTAGCATGAAGGGGATCTTTCATCTTTATTTCGTTGATGACCTTATGATTTTTAGCAAAGAGCAAAATTGAGTCAATTAGAGCCATCAAGGAGGTGTTGCTGGCTTTTGAAGAGTTCTCTGGACTAAAGCCAAACCCTTTTAAAAGCCACATCTTTTTTTTCTGGAGTTAATGATGCTACAAAATTTGACATTCTTCAAAACTTGGATATAGTGCAAGAGAACTGCCAATTAGATATCTTGGGTGTGCCACTTATAACTACTAAGCTTAAGGCCATTGACTGTCAAGCTCTTGTTGAAAAAATCACTAACAAAGTGAATTCATGGAGTTGCAAATATTTGTCATATGCGGGTAGAGTCCAATTGATTACTTCTATCCTCTTCTCTATCTAGATTTATTGGTCTTCTATTTTCATCATTCTGAAGAAAGCAATAACCAAAGTCGAACAGATCTTGAGAAGATTTCTCTGGTCAGGAACTGAGCTCAAGGCTAGTGGGGCTAAGGTAGCTTGGCAAAATATCTGCTTGCCTAAAAGTGAGGGGGGGCTTGGACTAAAGAACATGGAACATTGGAACAAGGCTGTAATCCTGAGATTTCTTTGGAACATCATCACTAATTATCCTCATTCTTTATAGGTGAAAGTGGGCTGAGACCTATCTTTTGAGAGGATGAAGTTTCTGGAGTCAAAATTCCACATTACTCCTCATGGGCTTGGAGGAAAATTCCCAGGCTCAAAACCGAGTTTCTCCAATTTATCAAGTTCAACATAGGAAATGGGAGATCCACCTACCTCTGGTATGACCCTTGGCATCCTTTGGGTCCTCTCCATCAATTCCTTGGGGAGACAACTATTGATCATTTTGGGTTGGGAAGGAATGCTAAAGTCAGTAGCATTATTACCAATGGTGATTGATCCTGACCAATAACTTCTAATGGTGTTTTTCTTCACCTGCAGAGAAAAACCACCCCTAGTTTGAAGCCTAACTTGAGTATGGAGGATCATGTGCAATGGATTCCTTCAAACACTTTCCATTACATTAAAATTGCTTGGGAAGCCTTTAGAGATAATAGACAATTTCAAGAATGGTCCAAGGTGGCCTAGTACTCGGGTGCTATACCACGTTACAGTTTTATTCTCTGGTTAGCAGTGCAGCAAAAATTGGCTACCGAGGATAAGCTCTTCAATTATGACCTTTTGCAATCAACGCAATGCGTTTTTTGTAGGAGTGTCATTGAAACCCATGAGCATCTTTTCTTCCAATGTTCTTTTACTTTCAGAATCTGGACTTCTATGCAAATGAAATGTAATCTTCAATAGCCTCACTTGAGTTGGCCTGGAACTATTCAATGGTGTGCCACAAACTTATATGTTAAGAGCCTGCAGAAACTTATAGTAAATTGATTCTCTCATCTTCTGTTTATATTGTGTGGAAAGAAAGGAATTGTCAATTATTTAGAAACTCCTTCAAAGATGTTGACACTGTGTACAAAGAGGTTATCGATAACATCAAAGAGAATGAGATCTCCCTTAATGTTGTAGTAAAAGATTATCAATAATTCATCACTAATTTAGTAGCGCCAAAATTTAAAGTTAATAAAAAAAAATATTTAGTGACAAGAATTTAGATTTAGCCCACTGGTTATATTCAATTTTAGTGACTACATTTTTTTCTCGCATCAAAGTGCCTACTGTAGCTTAATGGCATAATTTTAGTCTAACAAATTGAGTTGAAACGACGTCATTTTCTTGAAGTACAAACCCCCACTCTCTTCAACCTCTTTTCGTATTCTCTCTTTACTCAATCCCTTCAACCTCACTTTGTCTTCTCTCTGCTCTCTCTCCCACACAATGCACCTCTACAGCCACTCTGTTACTTCTCTCTCTGACTTCTGTCTCTCTCCTCGACAAACAGACACACAACCGAATCCACTTCCTCAGTTGCGAGGGCAATGCACACTATATTGCACAAACACACACACTGAATCGAATGAACACACACAGTAACCACTCACACACAAACACATCTGCACAAGTCCGAAGTGTGTTAGATTCCGGTGAAAATATGACCACTGCCAACCACCGTCACAAGCCTCACTTCGAAGGGGAGCCTGGAGGCTCTGTTTGTTCTGGCAACTCTACCAATGATGTTTCCGCCTTTGCAAGATCACTCTATCAGGTTAGCCATTGACTCGTGCTAGATCCAATTAGAAATCCAAAACTTCCTCATGCGTTGTTGATTTGTTCTTCGTTGAATTTGATTATTTAGGTCTGTTTTGTTTGCATGTGCTACATCCAATTAGAAGTTTGTTGATTTGTTCTTCGTCGACTTAAAATTCGTGATTCCGTGGAGTGACGCAATTCGAGTTTTCGGAAAGTACGCAATTCATATTTCGTAAGCTCTACATTTTCGTTTCGTGGCTCATTTTTCCTGGTTATTCCTCGTTTCTCATTTTGGTTGCCAAGAAAATTTGGAGAAACAAAAAAGAATTTTAAGTGGAACAAGCTAATTGAGATATGTTTTCCTTCAATTACCGCACATATACATGTATTTGTGTATGTACATTTCAATTGTTTTTTGCATTTCTCATTTCTAATTTAGTTCCCTGATTGTTTGACTGTGAGTTGAAGACGACGAACCTGGCAAACAGATTAGGGGTGCTATTAGTCTCGTGTTTGAATCTATTCCGGTCAAAATTTGACTAGCGTTGAAGTGGAGTAAAGGATTTCATATAATACTGGCCCTAATTGAACTAATGGTTGGGGCTATCCCATATCAGATAGCCTTTGGGTGTGTGAGTAATATATAAGTTTTCACTAGTCCTTACTCTGTTGGAGTAAGTGGTTAGTGTTTGATCAAAAAAAAAGAAAAATGCATCATTAAGGTGTTCGGTGGTCGGGCTCGGCTTCCCTCCTCTTTAAGACAAGTGTCTCTGGGGTTATGGTAATAGTTCCTAGGTGGTGGGGGCTGGGGCTCACATCGGAAGCCTTTGGGTGTGTGAGTAATATATAAGTTTTCACTGCCCTTACTCTGTTAGAGTAAGTGGTTAGTATTTGATCAAAAAAAAACTAATGGTTGTTGCTATATCAACATGTTTGATTAGGGTTTCTTTTAGGTAAGTTGAGTGCATGGTAATTTACTATGTATATCTTGCAATTTCTCATAATTAGGCTTTTCTAGTCTAGAACACAATGTTAATATTCTGATGCGGGCCTATTGGAGGCTTATATTGACTTGCATTTGTGTTGATAGAGCTAGTTGTTAATAGATTGCTAAACTTCAAGTGTCCTAAGTAGTTGTGTCCAGATTTATGCAGCAACCTTTCTTTTGTTCATATCGTTCTGTTATATTAATTTTGGGATAAATGTGGTCAGTGTCTGTTTCTTTTAACAACAATATTAGTTGCTGTTTTGACCTAGGCTAGTTACTCGATTCATCTTTATCCATAGGTACTGAAATAACTATTGTTCTTTTGCACATTTATCATGCCATGAAAAATGAAATCAACTGTATGAAGATATCCCTCATTTTGTTGTTTCACATTCTTTTCCACTTGATATGCTCTCTTCCCCACCATTTTTTAATACTGCAACAAGGATGAGACAAGGAACAAAGTATTTACTAAAATAATGTAAAGGGGCATCTCAAGAGATATATCGTAGACATCTATGTTGGATTTGTGTTGTGTCCAGATCTATCACCCTTAGTTGAATGTTTGTTCATCTCAAAGTTGAAAATGGAGTTATGTGAAGTTAGATAATTCTTCGCTCAAATTGTTTCCAGGGGACAGTACACTGAAAGAGCGGCTGCAGTTGTGACTCATACAATTGTTGAAGTCATACAGGTGAAGATTTGTCTTGCTTGGTCATTGATGTTATATTCACAGTATGATCTGCTTATGTTTTTTTCTTTCAAACATCCTCATCACAACTGTCTTTTCTCTCTTCAATGGAGTGCTAATGTTTAAGTTAATGCCATTAAAAGAATGAACTTGATGTGGATTAGAGGACTAGTATTCCATTTAGTGTGTGATTCATATCATGAATATTACATAAGAACAACCTTTCAGTAGTTCTTGCATGAGAACCATGAAGTTGGAGCAAGATACACAGAAGTTCAATTAAATAACTACCTGGAAACAAACTTAAATGAAAACAGATTGATATATATGTGATGTTAACTTGTGGTTGGAGCAGCAAATTACGCTGAACACTTCCCGGTGGCTAATAGTTGTTGGGCAATTGCTGTACATTTTCATCACTAAATAAGATGGTGCTTGGACTAGGTTCACATGGCCAGCATTTTCAGACTTGTTTGGCTTTTGCCATCATGTTATGGTAACTCAGTACCTCATTTCTCTCTCTGTCTTATGCTTTCTTGTATCATTTACATTACTAGAAATGTAGTCCAATGAATGAGACTCTTGTTTATATTTTTGGATGAGATAACATCCATGGTTATTCTTCTTTTCAATTGTTTTTCATTCCTTAGTTTTCTTTGAATTTAATAATGGGTGACAGTGTTCAAGTTTGTGAAGCAGCCAGAGAAACAATTAGATCAGAAGAGAAAGGTTAAGTTCAAGATCATGAGTCTAAAGGTGAAAGCAGGATCAGATTATGTACCTGAGTTGGTAATTTCTCTGTCCTTAGTTTATTGGGTCATATTGTTTTCCTAAGTTTCGTTTAAAAATTTTGAATTAGATGCCTTTTTTTTGGGTTGCTTGATCGTTTAGTGAGAGTTAGTAGCATCCATAATGCAACATAAAAAACAAGCATACTTATATAAGATGTAGTTTATACTTATGGCAGGTATTCTGGCTTTGTTGTTTGTATGGATCAAGATGGAGCTGTATATGTCAAGTTGGCATACTGCCACTTAAAGGTAGTGCCTGTGGTGGATGGGGCTAGACCTTTTCTTTTCTATTTTTGTCTATTATTTAGCCACACACATATTGCCGCGGCTTAGTGGCAATAAAAAAGTTGTCATTAAAACATTTAGTGATAATTTTTACACATTTAGCCGCAATAATTTCTGCAGCTAAAAGACAAATTTATTGTAGTGATAGATGTTAGAATTTTGGCAAAATGTCTTTAGATAATGCATTATGTTCCTAATGTATAGTATGGTCTTGGAAGTGAGATATCAATTAATGGGGATGTTTACAGCTATGGCATCTGCTTGTTAGAGATGATGAGAATAAAGAGACCAACTGACGACATGTTTCAAAAAGGCCGAAATCTTCAAAACTTTGCTAGGATGGTTATACCGGACAATGTGATAGAGATTGTGGACCAGATGCTTCTAAACAAAAATGAAGACGAGGTTGGAGCAACAGAAAAAAACACTTGGCAGAATCAAAATAGGGCAAGCAAAAGAGTGTTTTGTTTCAGTTTTAAGGATTGGAGTGGCATCCTCCATGGAGTCATCACAAGAACAGTTGAATAAAAGCAAAGCTGTCCATGAGCTCCAATCTGTTATGAACAAGTTTTTACGACACTAATGCTCTGTTTGGTACAATGAAAAAGTGGGAGGATCAAAAATTGGAAGGATAGAAAGTTTGAAAGATAAATAAAACATCATGTTTCGTAAGGAAGGAGAGTAAAAATGATAAAAAAAGTGAATGGATTAATTTTTCTTTCAACTCATTAAAATCAATCCCTCTAAATTCGGAAGGAAAGTGGATGAAAAGTTAATTATTTGTGTTGAAATGTATCTTATTTGCCTATATATTTTATGTATACATTAATTTTCATATAAAAATACAATGATAAAATATGTATATATATTTTAAAAAATTTTTAAAAATAAATAATAAATAAAGATAAAAAAAAATAAAAGTTTAAAATTTAAAAAAAATATAATTTTTCATTATAATTAAGGGTAAAAATTTTCGATTCAATACGATGACATGACTCGAATTCGATACAAAAATAAATAGGTCAATTCGCAACTCGACACGAGACAATTAGTTAATTAAGTTAAGTTAAGTTAAGTTTGATTAATATTTGACATAAATTCGTAATGACTCAACACGAATCTGACACGACACGACTTGACTCTATTGTCACCTCTAATTTTAGCCAGCACAAAAAAAAATAGTCATTTTTATTTTTCATCAATTCAACCAAACACTAGGGCTGTTAAACGAGTCAAGTTTGAACATTTTTTTAAACTCGTTTATGTGTAAATAGTCGAAGGTTTAGGCTTGAATTCAGCTCGATTATAACCCTATCAAACACAAAGCAAGGAAAGTGTATCCTTCTTATTTTTCATTCTTGAATGATAGAAAATGTATTCCTCATATTTTTCATTCTTTTTGTTTTCCATCCTCCCTACCAAACGAAACATAAAACTCAATTGGCTCCTACGCAGAGTTGAAGAACTGAACAGAATGAGGAGTGTTTGGTTTTAAATCCTTACATGCTAGAGTTCAGTTCCACAGTCGCACAAAATTTTGTTTAATTAAGTCAGATCTACATTCATCCCAGTTTTTTGTTATGGTTGTCAAATCAAAAACTGCAGGGTTGGGTTGATTCCTAATGAACATGATGACATGGGGGGCTTTCAATGAAACCAACTTTTATATGCACATACCCAGCTTGTGTCGAAAGTATAGTTTTTTTTAGCATAACAGATGCTCTTCTTCTGTTTACAGTGTTAAGACATGTTTAGGATGATAAAAATAAGATTTTGCCTAGAAAAAATACAATAATATTGTTTGTATTTAATTTGAAGACTTATGCTCCGTTTGGTTACAATGATGAAAAGTAGGAGGAATACATTTTCTATTCTTTAAGATTGGAAAATATAAATGATATATTTTCCTTCTTTTGTATTTGGTTGGATGGATGGAAAATAAAAGTGACTAATCTTTTTTTTAATTTTTTTTTATTTTGTGTTGGCTAAGATTAAGAGTGACAATTGAGTCGTGTTGGGTCAAATTCGTGTTGAGTCATAATATTATAAATTTTTTATATTTCTTGTTCGCATGACAGGTCATTTTCAAGTTCGTGTCGAGTTGTAATCAAGTTCGTGTGATAAAATTCGTATTAAATCGAAATTTTTTACCTCTAGTTAAGATGGAAAAAATATATTTTTTTATCTAAAATTTTTATTTTTATTTTTATTTTTAAATTATATATATATATATATATATACACACACACACATATTTTATCATTATTTTTTTATATGAAATTAATGTATACATAATATATGTATATATTGATATACAGACAAATAAGATATATTTTAACACAAATAATAAATTTTTCATCAATTTTTCTTCTAATTTTGGAGGGATTGATTTTGGTGAGTTGAAAGAAAAATTAATTTATCCACTTTTCTATCCTTCCTATTTTCTTTCATTACCAACACATGATTTTTTTTAATCTCTCCAACTTTTTATCATTTCAACTTTCTATTCTTCTATTTTTCCATCAAACCAAGCAGAACATTAATGAGTTGTGACCAAAGATTGATAATAAACTTTCATTTAGTGTTAGAAATCACTGCTAATCTAATGACCACCCTGCTATTAATCTATAGATTAAGTTTCAATAGCATCGATCGAAAAGATCTGTCATGGTAGACAATTTAACTGCAATTATATTATTTTAATATTGGTCAAATAAATAATTAATGTAAGGTCAAATTAAGTAATTAGTATATAGGACAAAGAAAGGAATATTTCATTGGGGGCAATAATGTCATTAAACATTTTCTGTTTCATTATGTTTAAGACAAAAACTGAAAATGGATGTAGTGATATTTTATAAACAGACTAGACTATATATTAAGAGCTAACAAATACATATTTTACTTAATTATATCCTCTGTTTGGTAAGTGGCACAAACAATTATAAGACCTACAAATTAATTACAATTATAATCAAATATTTATTATGTAATTAACTAAATTGTCCTATCTAATCATTGTAATTGGGTAGACTAGGGATAGAAAGATCATTTTACCATTATGTCATGGGTTGGCTGAATTCAATCCCCAGGGTTTGTTGAAACCTATATCCATGGGCTTAACCTTCTGAGTCAGTTACAGGTCGGGATCTTAATCTGAGGTTTAAAAATCTTAATCAAACATAAAATTTAATGGTTCATTGGACTATTTTGCTTAAACGCACCTTTACATACCCTCCAAAACCCGTCAAACAAACAATTAGAAGAAAAAAGAATACCGCATCAGTAATTAAAAAATAGTAAAAGATGAAGAAAAACTAGGTGAGTCAAGAGGAAAATTTTCTGTGAAGATGGACTGGATTGTGCGGAGATAGCATTATGCTATGGAGTAATACCACCAATTGCAAAATTTGCAAGATTAGTGGGTATAAACTCAACATTTCTAGCGCTTTCTTCACTCTTGTGTTGTGGACCATGACTGTGGTGGTGCAAAATTATTCATTCTTCAATTAAAGTATCAAGCAAATTACCAAAGTGGGTATCACAGTGAGGGTTGACCAAACCAATTTACACATATTTCGATTAATTTTTTTTCAAGTCTGATCAAAGATAAGTTATCAACTTTAAGATTAGAGTATTAATGATGAATATCGTCACTATTACTATTATGTGCAGTGGTGCATTGTAATTGGTATTCGAAAACTATTTAAATCATGTTCGAGCGCACTTCCATTAATTCTCCCTTCACTAGCCACTTACCTTGAACAATGATGGCAGAAGGCAGACGAGCAACACAAAGTTCGGTGCTCAAGTTAATGTTTCTAGGATTGTCAAACGTAGTAGGCTCAATTGCCATTAAGTGCCATGGCACTTTGTAAGTGGCATTCAGAAATTATCTTGATTTTTCGTTGTTGAACTCAAGTACCAAGCACCTTACAAATGCAACCATCAAATCTAGTGTTGTTTGTTGGAAATTGTAGGTGCAGTTACATCCAAACTTCAGTCACTCTTGCTATTGGGGTATATTACACTTTATCCCTTGACTTATTACCTTTATTTTATTTTATACCCTTAACTATAAAATTTCTCATATTGAACTCTAAAGCATTAATTTTGTTTCGTATCCCTCTAATTAATAACAAATGTCAATTGTTTCATATCCCTATTGTACATGTGCAAGTCAAAAAACAAGAAAAATACATATTCATGACTTTGTCATTCCTAAATTCTAAATTTTCTTCCTCTATCCGACCTTCTTTTTCTTCTCAGCAATCATTTGATTACAAAAGAAATAAAATAAAGTAATATTAGACACTTGGCGAAAAGTTTTTTAGGGTTTTCCTCCCTCCTTTGAAAGATTTTTAAATTTGCTGTTATCTATTGGAGTGATATCAAATAAAATTGATACTGTAGGTGCAATGTGAAAAGTTTTATAGTTAGAGGTGCAACGTAAAACAAGAGTAATAGTTTAAGGGTATAAAATATAATTTGACCTGGTAATTGGTATTAGAAAACTATTTATGCATCATGATCGAGCGCAGTACCCTTTTCTCTTCAGTAGCCACTCAATTCGAACAATGATGGTTGAATGTGGACGAGCAATAGTATGTTGGGATTCTTCATATATCTGAAGATGAAATCTAAACAGCGTTACAGTTTCATTCTCTAGACAACTATCCACTTGAGAAATTAGTGGGTATGCTTTGACAACATAATAGTTATGTCTCTAAATTATGTCCTAATAGCATTAGTGATTTAGATTTCCAAAACATATGGACAATTACATTTTATCTTCATGTGGCTTGACCTAAAATCCCTTTACCTCCTTAGCATCGAAAATTATTCTCGTTGTTCCCATATGAATTTGGACCAAATGAAAAGTCTAGCACAGTTACTGAAATTTTAGTTTTTATCAAGTTCACCATGTAGCCCAAATATTGATATTCCATTGCATCTAAGCGTGTAAAACTTATGAATTTGTTGCTAATTAATGATACCCTAACATTAATTTGCCATGCAAGGTGATAAACGAGACATATTCAGTCTTTACTTAGTGAAATCTAATGAAGTGTTACATTATGAGAGACTTAAATTGTAATAGAACAAAGAAGAATACACTATTTTAGACTAGTTTCTAGCAACATTTCTGGCACTTCCTTCACTCAACATGAATAATGATGGCAGAACGCAAACGAGCAACAGTGAATTGTGGAAATTTCGTCCTCGAATACAAATGCCAGGCTCGTTGCCAATGTGACTACGACATCCGTGTTTGTTCATTGCAAATTAATTATCGGTGCTGTTACATCAAAACTTCAATCTTTATTGCTATTTGTAAATTGGTATTTGGAAACTGTTTTTTGAACCACGATGGAGCGCATGCACTTCCCTTTTCCTTTCACTAGCCACTTAACTTGAACAATGATGGTTGAATGTAGACAAGCAACAGTATGTTCGGATTCTTCATTTCCTTATGATTATGATGGTTAGTAGAGTCTTCGTCAAGACACTCAGGACCCGTGCACCAA